TGACAATTGCCTCCAAAGGCTCCTCTGGCGGGGAAGGGCCCCGAAACCATATCCAAGGTATGTATATCACCATCATCGACTTGGTAAGCGCTGAGAAATAACCGGATTTGTTTGTCTCCAGTCCTTGCAAATTCCCTTGTCGCGTCCGTCCTAATCGTCCTGCATGCGCTTCAACTTGACCGCCGGCAAAAGTTTCTACCCCGTCTAGATGAATCGCCCCGCGGCTTCTGCTACCCTTGGGGGTGATCTTCTTGTCGTAGGGGTGATCGCCCACTATGCTGCCGTGACTGCTGATACCCTGAGCTCCGAACTTGGCATCTTATCCAAGAGCCCCCTCGGCTCATCACTTCGTTCAGTTTTCGCCAAGTCCCTCCCGGGACCAATGGCGGTGTTACTCTTACCGGCACCCTAGCAGGTGCCCTAGGCTCCGCTATCATCGCCATTTCCTCGTCCCTGCTTCTCCCCATGTGCCAGGATGGAAGTTCGCTAGGTAGTTACGAGGGCGGCGGGTGGACCCTGCAACGCAGACTCATTTTTGCCGCCGCCGTTACACTCTGGGGGACGCTCGGAAGCCTCTTGGACAGCATTCTAGGCGGACTACTCCAAAGAACTGTGAAGGATCGACGCACTGGAAAGATCGTTGAGGGTGAGGGCGGCGAGCGAGTGTTGATCTTGTCGGAGTCAACTCACACTCCCCTCTCGCCGATTGAATCGGCCGTTCTGTCCGGTGAGGGCGACCACGCCGTCGAGCACATGGATCCCACAGTTTCAACGTCGTACAAGGCCAGTGCAGACTCACCCAAGCGTAGATTTGACCCCAGTACAAAGCACCGCAGAGCCAGCTTTGGTGATGAACGCCCTTCTAGGGTGGTTGAGAATGGCCGGGACGTTCTCGATAATAATCAGGTCAATTTTTTGATGGCCTTGATCATGAGTTTAGGCGCGATGGTCGTTGCTGGCTATGTCTGGGATATCCCTCTGCGAACCATCCTGCCACATTAGTTTTGGGTATTCCTAAGAGGTGTGCATGTTGCGCGAGTGTAGGCAGACAGTAATAGAACAGAATTTGCCGAAACAATCGCCATCCAAAAACACAAATCATGATGGATTTCGTTCATACGAGCCGTGTTCCTTCCTCTTAGTGGCTCGTGCCTTCCGTTCTTTCCATCTGCCCCTTGCCATTCTCGAGAGTGTCCATATATCAATTGATTCGAATTCGTGTAGGCTTGAGACCTACTTACACGTTGCATGCTCAGGACACCCAGTTCTCCTTTACGCTAGTCCTCCGTAGAGACTTTCCAACAACAAAATCGGGTCCCTCAGCTAAGTCTATCCATCACATTAGTCTGTCTTATATCACATCACCACCTCTCATTCATCACTATTTTGCAACATTGTTTAGTGTTCGGCTGTGAGGCTCGGTATCGAGATACCGCTGGATGCGGAGCTGCAGGACCAAGCCTCGGTGCCCTGCACGCCATGCCGCTTTTGGTCCAGAAGGGATTCTCTGGGGCAGGTTATCTACCGAGCCTCGCTAGCAGCCGCGTCTTTTATTAACCCGAAGCGTTTTCGACATCGCCAGCCTACAGCACTGGAAACAAGGCTAGGACATCCCTCAGGACCATGTTCCCTGACTCCAACCTACAGGAAGGGTTACGTGGCGACGCTACAAAGAGATGGACCGAATCTAGAGAAGCGATATCTCCAGCCTCCCCTCCGGTATTGCTCCCCGAAAAAGAAGAAGGTATCTATCCAGATCGTTCCGGGGTTTTTGTAGGCTACCAACATCTAAGCAACCTTCTAATTGCCGGTTCTCCCACCCAGATCCTTACCGGCCGGCACTTCGACTCCTAAACTACGCTCGGTCTTCTGAGAGCTCCCTGAAGCCTGTCGAAAATTTGCTCAAGCCTCTCGCAAAGAGAAAATCTATTGACAACTATGCTATGAATTAGCAATCCGGCAAATACAATGCTAGAGGTCTTAGCCCGCGAGGTAAAGAACTAGGCATCCTTAGCCAAGGTCCCCATGGCGAACGAAGTATTCGTCAAGTTGTCCATGAACTCGAGCGCCTAAATGTACCCTCTGAGATGGCCTCCGGAGCGACAGACTTTTCTTCCACGCGGGACAATCGCCAGGTAGTTTACTCTACCCCAAAACTGCAATCACCTAGACGACAAGATAGCACGTACGGTATATACAGCAACATGGTTGAATCATACCGGGGAAACGTTGCCGACCGTCATTCAAGGTCAAGCTCCCTTCCGAACCGTCTCCAGACCTACACAGTAGTCAGGCGTAACGCCTCGGAGGACCCTTTCGAAATTAGAAAAAGACGAAGTGAGAATGGACTAGCAACGCATGGAAAGAACTCGTCCTTCATCCTATACACCGAGACTCACGACGTAGCTTGCGCAAAAGAGCATAAGGAGACGGAGCAAGAGTGCCGCGATCCGGAACAAAATTGTATCCCCAGCATGGACGGCCCATCAGACCGAGCTAACCGAGTGCCACCAACAAAAAGCCTTCGTAGGCGGGACCAACCCGGGGTATTTGAGCCTCCTCAGCAGACAGTTCTGGACCTCACCCCACAAGACTGGTCCCTTTCTCGCAAAGCCTTTGCCGCAGCCGTATCATGCTACAACTTAGCGGCCATCTACATCATTATCGGGCTATTTTTTGGCCTTGCTTCTCTGATTGAACAGCCACCCGGGCTTGATGGTACATCCGTCAACTGGATGCTCTACGCCAACGTATGGTGCTTCTTGGGGATGATGGGGCCGGTTTCATTTCTATGGCCCCTCCCACCCCTTCAAGGAAGAAAAGCTTATATTTCTGGTGGATTTGTGTTGACGTTGCTATTCCTGGTTCCTCAGACTATGGCCCTGCGAGTAGACCGCTATCTTATTGCGACTGGCTAGAGGCACGCTTTCTTAGTTTCGAGGACCTTGGTGGGGGCTTCTTTGGGCTTGGTGCAGATGAACTCGTTTTCATCACTAATTGATCTCTATGGAGCATCGAGCCTAGGAAAGTCGGAAGACGCAAGGAGCCATGGTGGGGGATGGGAACGTGGTTGGGGATCTGGGCCTGGTGCTCAGTGGGGATGCCAGCTTTCGGATTTGCTATAGGGCAGATCCTCGTCCAAGGGCGGCCTTTATATTGGGCGATGTACGCATCGATGCTTATCGTCACGATGAGTTTGCTGATTAATCTGGCCCTTCCAGATACACGAGGACCGCGCAGCATTCTAAGGCTACAGGAACGTGACGATTTGCAGCTGTCAGGAGAAGTGACCTTGCACCGAACTCAAAGGCGTTCCAGGTGGTGGGGGAGGAGGTGCAACATGGTTCTCTTCTCTTGTATGAAATGCTTCGCCAGCCTGGTTTCCTGGCTATCGCACTTTATACGGGCTGGGTCCACGGCCAAGCAATCTTCGTTACCATGATCCTCGCCTCTCTCGCGTCGCGGACCTACGACCAACTCCTCTACAAGTTGGACGCACCATCCTGATAGCAGCGACAGGGCCTTTTGCAGCAATTATTTTCTCGACCGGAGGATACTTTTCGAGGGGAATCCATGCCGTTGGTCGCGCCATACTAAGAGCAGGGGGCAGACTCGGTTTCAATATTTGTATGGAGGACCATCTCCATTACATCACTGCTTGCCCTGATGATGGGGTACACACGGGCCTCGGCCGGCCCTTCAGTGTCATTTGCCTGGCCAGTCATCCTTGCCACGGGAATTGGGTTTCTTTCCGTCATAGCCATTGTGGATTGCCACGTTTTGATCATGGAGACGTTCGACTGTTCGGATCTGGTTCTGGTACCAGAAAATCATCACGAGGTGGAACGTCGACGAGTTCAGTATTCCTCGCACCCTCGGGTTTCTGCTGGGATAGCTTGCTACCATGGCTTCGGTTGCCTCTTCGCGGCGGCGGCTACGACTTTGGGCGTTATAGCTAACGAACGACAGCTAAACCTACAAATGACGGTGGGTTCTGTAGCTGGCGTTTTCTCATTACTCACGGTTACCGCCTTATCCGCCCTCGCCCCCGTGAGGAGAATGGAACTCCAGCCACCGCTGCCAGGGGCCAGCGGTGTCGGTCCCATAGGGGAACGGTCCGTTGCAGTTTCTTTGAGCTGGGCCACATGTCGAGATGGAGCGAGATCCACGCCCAGCATAGGTCGGCCCGTCTGACAAGAATTTCGCATCAAGGGCCTTCTATGGGGGAAAGAGGGGTAAGCGCAGGCCGCTTTTGGCCAGCTCCCCGAGGTGGAGAGTTGCGGCACCTGGACTCTGAGCATTGGTCCATCCGGCAAGCGTCACACATGACGATCTCAAAGGTGAAGCCAATGCCGACGGCTATCGGCTCGGTGAGAACAGCAGCGCAGGAGAGCATAGGAAGTCCGCCCCAAGAGGAAAATGAGAAGTGTTAAAAAGCCCAATGAATTTTGTTGCAACCGCTCTTGAAGAGGTTGACGCTGATTTGCGAAACAGAACTCCCAAACTCCGCCTAATGGACAACATTCCTAGAACAAGTAGTCCTAAGAAGTAGAAATGCTAAATACAAACAGAAAAAGAAAGTAAGAAAAGAAAAGAGAAAAAAAAAGAAGAAAAAGAAAGGCCCAGGCTAATCCTATCCTACACTCTGCGTTTTTGGTGACTTGCGCTTGTTCCCCCTCCACCGGAAAAAAAAAAAAGTCTAATGGTCGTCCTCCTAGCTATCTCTAAGGATCAAAGGAAGAAACATGTATGAATCAAAATATGGTTACAGGCCGGTCGCGTCTGGGTATCATATAGACCGATCCCGAGCGCAAACTCAGGATTGTGAAATAAAGGGCGCACAGAAAAGGAAGAGAGTGCTGAGAAATGGAAGATTAAGAGGACAAAGGAGATGAGGAGAAAAAGAAAAAGAAAGAAAGAATATGGTTGGAATGGCGGGGAGAGGCATGGAAAGAGACAGAGGGAGAGAGTGAGGCGAATACACTTCCATCACCTCAAGCTCAAGTATAGGGCATCTCCCCTACGCTCGGGTGTAAGGAGGGGCCGCCAAGTTGGCGTGCTTGGCAAGTCGCCCCCGAGGCACCGCCTTCGGCATCTCGCATCATGCGCCTCCAAGGCCCAGGCTGGCTCATATCTGATTGTACGGAGGGTCTGCTAGTGACGGGGGTGACTGTGAGATTGGAAAGCTGCGAGGGCCTATCGGGGCCGAGGCGCTTCTCTAGCAAGGTAGAGCGCGCGGCGCCAGAAGTCTGCTGCGGCGAGGAGGGGTCACCAATATAACTGTAACGGTTCGTCGTCGGTGTGATACTACTAGCAGAATATGGCTGCACAAACGCCCGTGAAGCCGGGGCAACAATCGGTGTTGCCATCAGCTGGGGGTTGCTCGAGGTTGCGCCACGGCGAAGCCCGGGCATCGGGGTCGGGGACGGAGCTGTTGTTTGGCCTATCCTAGATGGCCGGAACAGGTTCTGGCCCTGAGGTGCCGGTATCCTTCCTGTCAGATCATAGGTACTGTTTCCAGCACGACGGACAGGGGAGACATCATTAGTGTCAAGGAAAGGGTTGAGCACAGGAGAGTAAGCCGTTGGAAGGACCGGGGCTGGCGGGGCCCAGGGACCGAGGTCCGGGCCCGCACGGTAGTTACGGCTTGGCTGCCTAGTGCTGAGCGGCTTAGGAACCAAAGAATTGGAGGGGACTGGTGGCGTTTGCGTAGGAGTGCGGTTCCAGGGGCCACCCTCAGAAGCGTAGACACTAGCGGGGGTGAGAGTTTTTGACGGGGAGACCGGCTTGATACTGTGGACACGGCTGTTGACGTAGCAGTGCCTACTTGCCTACGGATCTCAGCGGGGGGCTGAGCGCCGACGTTGGAGCCTCAAGTCGATTGGGTTTGAAGGGTGGAGGCAGCTCCAGATCCCTAGAAGGGGGTCAGATGGCTTTTGGGGACCAGTCAAATTTCTAACAATCGGGTTTCCAGAATCAAGCTCAACGCGAGAGATGCGGCGCCTCTGCCGTTCGTCAGCAAGAACCCAGTTTCCAAATTTATCGGCGATATAGACGGTATTGGAGGACTGCGGCGCGGCGGAAGGGGGTACCATATCTGCTTCGGAGATATATCGCCACCATCTTCCTCAAACTCCGTCATAGGGCTTTCCTCTTCCTCGCCGCGCTGAGTTGCCGGTACTGGACGTATCGTCTGATTGGACCCGGAAACGTTATTGGCAATCGTTGACGTGTTGATGCTAAGCTTCGGCTTGCCATCGGGACGCCTCTGGTTGGAAGCAGGAGCTGTTTGGTCGTCCCTCCGGGACCGCGTTTTGGAGATGGCAAGGCCAACAGCGCCGGCGCCTTGTCGCATTTCATTGGTAGGGGCAGAGGAGCTTTTGGCCATGGGGGTCTGGCTCGGAATCGCCGCGGCAGTCACGCTAAGACCCCCGTGCAATAAGTTCCGGGGAAGATATTTTCTCAACCATGGGAGGTGAGGAGGAGCTGTTAGATTGAGTCATCGTGGGAGCGTACTGGCCCATGGGGAATCTAGTGGGCGGAGATCCATGGATCGGGGCTGAGATATCGTGACCCCGAGGATAAACAGTAAAGCGGCGTGAGATTGCCTTGAGGCGATCGCTCTTCATAAAGAAGCCGGTTTCGACGCCAGGGTAATCCTTCTTACGCCGGCGGCGGGCAAGACAAATGAGGAGGATCGCTATTCCAAAAGCGGCGGCCAAGCCGGCACTCAGGCCAGCAATTTGGGCAACAGACAGGCGTCCATTCCCAGTCTTTCCCTGTTCGACGCGCCCGGAATCAGCGGCTAGTCCGCCGGGTGGGGGATCCTCACTCGAGGTAGGGAGTGGGGGAGGTGCAGTCAAAGTCGCAGTTGTCGGTGAGGGTAAGGGACGGCGGGTCGTGACGGTGCTGAGAGTTGTCGCGGTAACCGAAGCTCTATCGCCTTGATTCGGAGCCGAGAGTTTAGATGATGGGCCAAGCTGCAAAGTAGCCTGAATAGTTGAGTGCGTCGGTGTTACCGCGTTTGGTTGACCGGAGCACATGTTGTAAGCTCGCCCGAGAGCGGTTTCTAGTCACAGCCGAACGTCTTAGTCACTGGATGGGGAAACACATCAAGAGGAGAAAAGCATGGAAACTTACGGCTTGCATCAGTGCCGAAGCAAATGCCCAGGGACTTCGCCGCCACAAGACACTGCACCGCGCCCTCGCCAGCGGTGAAGCCTGAGAGCCGGTCTGCTCGCAGATACACTCAAACGCCGAATCGGAGGAGCAGCGAGCACCCTGAAAGTTGGCCAAGAGGAAGGATCGAAAGCAATCCTGGGCACATGCCGGGATAATAGAAGGAACATCTTGGGTAGACTTGCTGTCGAGCAGGTGCGCGGAGGAAACCGTAGTGAATAAGGCGAAAAGAGCCGTGACTGTGCTTGCTAACGAGGGGGTGTAGTGACGAGGGGCCATTCTATCGCGACAGAAGACTGAAAGAAGAGAAATAACGCCAGAGGAGCATCCTTTTCCTGTATGCCATGCCTAGTCTTTCTTTGTCCTCCGCATAGTTTGGTGTCTGTGTTGATTGTGCGGATAGCCAGGACCGATTCCAACAGAGAATGAGTCTTGGGTGGGTGTTCGGAGGGGTTATCGGGCCATGAATCGGATTGACTCACTTCGAGGACGCTGAGGGTCGGATGGTATCGAGACGGAAGAGAAAGGGAGGTTGAGGAATGCAAAGGTTGCAAAATGATCGAGGGGCAAACTCTAATGGGAGAGGAGATGGGTCTATCTTAAAAGCGAGGGTGTAGGGGGTATGCAAGGGAACTTGCAGCAAGGCTCTAGGATTCTGAAGAGCCAGGTTATGGAGAGGCAACCGGGATTAGGATCAGTTGATTGATAGCGTCGGCGGGAAGGATGGGCGTGCGGAATGCTTAGACAGGAATTGGGTATTTTGGGGATGGCACAGGGTTGAGGGGGTGTAAGAAGACGAAAGAAGGAAACAACGGATCGAGGGTGCCGGAAAGGGAAAAGAAGGAAACAACTCAAGTCACCGCCATGGAAATTGGGAGTCCTCGAGAAAGAAAAGACCAAAAGAAGAAAAGAAAAAGAAAAAGGGAAAAGAAAAGAGTTCGCGCTGCATCTGCAGCCTCAAGGCCAGAGGGCGACGGTGGTGGGATGAACGGGATGCCATCATCCCAGAAGTCAGGGACCTTCGGCTCACTAGCGATTTGACGGCGGAGCAGTCGGCGAAGGCGGACGTGCGCAGGGCGTGTCGGGAGTGTGGGTGTGGGCGTGGGTGTGGGCGTGGGCGTGGGTGTGGGTGTGAGTGTGGGATTGGATCATTGATGCGGTGCTGCGTGGTGCAAGCCTGAGTGCGGCGGGTGTGGTCAAGTAGTGAAGTGCCTGAGCAATGCCGCCCGGAACTAGCCCCCGCCGCTTCGCCGGCAGGAGCGAGGGGCGTTTGTTGGATTTGCTCCCCGCGAGCACCACACCGCACCACACCGCACCACTCCACTCCAAGGCTCTGCCAGCCCACTCGAATTCGAGGGCGGGCAACAAAAGAATTCTGGGGCAGACCACCGCTGAAACAAGTTCGTGGCAACAAGCTTCTGTGGAAAATGGAATGCCAAGTCGGAATTCACAATCCATCCCCCTACCCTCGAGGCAAGGGCAGGCTCCCATCGACGGGCCAATTTCCCTCTCTTTCCCCATTCTCTCCTCACTATTCCCTCGAAGAGTGGCGAGGACGAGTGCCAGTACGCGCCGGCCATGGAAAGGCCGCACCACGCGGGCGCTAAGCGGCCACTGAGGGGCCCTATCACGGGCCCGCAAATCATTCGGATCCCGGATTCGTCGCTGGTGCTGCCACCGCAGAACATCACTGGCACATCCCATCGACGCCTTTCTGCAGGTCCCGATCCAACACCGCAACCACCAAACGTGAAACAGCCTTGGGACGGAGGCGACACCGACTTCTTCTGCTCAATATCAAACTAAGACATGGCGACTATCTGCTGAGCGAGTATCGATAGCACGGCGAAGCGCGCAGCAGACAAAGAGCGCGCTAGAAACGTTTTCCCACTGGCTCTCTCCAAAGCCTACATGAAGCTAGCCTATTGTGAGCCCTGGAAAAGCAAGTCGGCTTCACACGGCGCAAATATACAGCTTGAGCATGAAAGAAGAATTAAGAAAGAATCTAAAAAGAGGATGGATTTATCGGTTACAGCAAGGCTTTGAGGCAAGATCGCTGGTTGGGGGCGAAAATACAAGCCCAAATCGACGGGGTGGCACAAAGGAACGTTGATGCTGCGCAACTCCATATTTCTCTAGAGCCCTTAGTTTTCATTCTTTTTCTCTGGCTCCGTTTCACGTTTCACCAGTGTACAATGGTTTGCCACGGGCCCGGGCAGCCAGCAATGATGATTCCCAGGTACTTGTATAATATTCCGATCCTCCAAGCTGACGTGCGAGCAAGCGCAGGCTCCACTGCCCGCCCACAAAACATCGAGAGGCACAGGCCACTAGTCCATCCGCGTCTCAAGATAGATCAAGGGATCAATTGGATGTACCGATTACAGCCACAGTGCTTCGCTGGTGGCTGACCGCCAGCCAGTGAGCAATCGTCAACCCTCCATTTTAGCCGCCGCTGGTACTACAGATCCTTCGGCGGTCGTTGGATTTTGCTTCTTCCTCTCCTCTAGCCGGAACCGCGCAAACTACCAAGCACCGTCCTCAGATCCCAATACCACGGGAGGCAGTCAGACTCGATGAGCACTCAGCTCGCCCCCATTCAGCCCTGTATGGGATCGCGCCCCTAGCGTATTTGTTTTTTTTTCTTTTTAAGCAACAGACTCGTTCAAGACGCCTCTTGGGCCCTCTTTTCCCTTCTTATCGAGATCAGGCATCGGGGTGCCTCCTTTTATTCACGGCCTAGACTGCCCTGTGTGATTTACTTCTTCTGATACTAAAACGACTACCAACACCCGATCTCGTTCCATGGACTTTCTTCTTTGACACTGAGAAATCCCATGGCCACAGGCTTCCTGGCGTGGCCATCTACGAAGTAGTCAAGCATTGTGTTGTGTCTTCTCCCGCATCGCGCCAATTGGAGACTCCAGTCCCGGTCAAGCGAGCGAGCTTGAGGGCCACATCCATCGAGAGGCTTGGGCGCTTACATACATCCAGTAGATCTTGATGTACTTTCTCACGCTCTCACGCACCACACGCAACCTGCAAAGCCCGTCTACCCGCCCACCCACCACGCACCGCATCAACACTGCAGGTGTTCCCAATTTTAGAAACACCCAACTCCTCCCACCACCACGTCCCGATTTAGCGCCCACCACCTTCTTTTGAGCCCCAACGACCCCCAGGGCAACCTTCGTTTCAGGAATCCCACCTCCAACCCACGCTCTCCACGCCTACCTCCAGTCAAAATCCGTGGCTTGACTTTCTACTTCTCCTGTCCGGCCAACCTCAAACGCCAGAGGAAGAAAGGCCCTTTTGTTGACTTCATCCTAGGTCGGAGGGGTTTTTATTCCTTGTTTTTCTTCTTTTCCTTGTCTAAGTGTCTACATTGATACCCCTAGCCGGGCGCCTTGCGAGACTCACTAATGCAGGTCGACTCTTAATACAATCGTCACTTCCAACGCCCCTACAAGCGGGCGATTCGCCTGGTGCTTCCCATCTTGCCATGGAGTCCTCGGGTTAATTTCCCTGGGTAGAGCGAGGGTCATCTTGGCTAACCCCTTTTGACCTTTTGATATGTCGTCTTTTTTTCTTCTCGATAGTTGTCCGTCTTTCCGGGACATCGTCCCAGCATCGAGGGGAATCAATTTTTCTCCCTCGGGGGTTTTGTCTCCTAGTGTGAATGTGATGTGACAACTAAATGATATATAGCCTGATCTTTTCACAAAGTTGGCATCTGTGATCACGGCACTAATTTTACTTTGACAGTTTCACAATGTAACTACGTTGGCCAGCTTCTTCAAGGAGATTTCACGCTTTCCTTCTGCTCTGCTCCAAAACGGGCGTGCTTCAAACTTCAAATCGGGATATCTTTATAGCAGTTTTTGATGTTACGTATGGTGGCCACTTTCGCAGACATCTAGTGTAGGGGGAAAACATGGACAGTATGAAATGTGGAGCCAGTGGCGGGCCATGGTAGCGTGCACCCAGTCCAAGAGACTTGGAATTGCCCTTGCGTCTCTCCTATTGTGGGCGAGCATGGCGGAATCATCGTGAAGAGATATTGAAAAGGGGAGCACCCCACTGCTCCGCGCAACATCGCTCTGCAGCTAGCCACCATCAATGGATGGGGGTCGATCTCTCGCGTGACAACCACCCTTGCCCAAAGCCCCCGAATCTCGCATCTTCTCAAACTCGACCAAACCCCTTTTCTTCCTTCTTCCTTCTTCCTTCTTCCTTGCTCAAATCAAAAGTCCTGGCTCCCAGAAGGGCCCCTAAGCCTCCGGTGCTTGGCGAGGATCAGTTGCGCTGGGAACGAATGCAGCCTGGGCGCGGTTCGATTTAATCACATCTTGCACCTGCTTCTCCGTGTCATCCCAGTCATCAGGGCTCAACTGGACGAGGTCGATGCCGTAAAGGTTGGCGATATCGCTGAGGGCCTGGAAACTCTTCTTATCGTAGACGAAGCTGATACTGACTCCGATACGGCCGAATCGACCGGTTCGGCCAATTCGGTGAAGATAGGTTTCTGGGTCAGGCTCGCTGTCGCCCCTACCCTTCATGGGGATGTCGTAGTTGATAACCATGGAAACAGTCGACACATCGATACCACGGGCCAGGACGTTCGTGGTGATAAGTACCTTGGACTTTCCAGAGCGGAACTCTTCAAGAAGGGCGTCTCGTTCGTTGCCTTCGAATGCTCCGTGAAGCGCAGACACGCGGTGGCCGTCGGCTTCCATACGGCGTTGAATCTCGCTCGCACTCTCACGTGTCTGTACAGCAAGCCATGTCAGTCCACATCAATAGTCCCGATTACAAGGAGGCGGGGAGAGGGGCGGGTCTCCTCCTCGATATCCAGGGCGACCATACCTTGACGAAAATGACACTTGATCCAACTGTCATGAGCCCATAGAGCTTACACAAGATGTCATACTTGTCCTTCTCGCTGGGACAGTCCATATACATCTGGGAGATACCCTTCACCGTCTGCTCGCTAGCAGCTAATGTCATCTTGAGCGCCTTTGGGGCAAATCGGTCTGCATAACTCATCACCTTGTCGGGGAAGGTGGCGGAGAAGAGCAGCACCTGTATAGATCGCGGGAGCATCCTGAGAGTTGCAAATGATGGGAATTAGCTCTTCTTTTCTTGTTCTTTTTCTTTTTCGGTTTGGGGCTGTGATGCCATTTGAAGAAGGCGCATCGAGAGGGGTAAAGAGAAGAGAACATACTGCTTGATACGCATGCACTGCTCACCGAGGCCTTGCTGGTCCAACATGTTATCGGCCTCATCGATCACGAGCACGCGGAGCTTTGAAACATCTAGCTGACGGCGCCTGATGACATCGGCAACCGTGCCGGGAGTGCCAACAATGATGTTAGCCTTGACAGGCTCGCCTCGAGCCAATCCTCCCGGAACCGCAGCAGCAACCTTGAGACCCTCACAAAAGCGGCCAATCTCGGTGATCACCTTTTCGATCTGGCGGGTCAGTTCTCGGCTAGGAGCGAGAGCCAGGGCCTGCGGGACATCCGGCTGAGACAAGTCGATACGCGAAAGCATGCCGATCGAAAAGGCGGCGGTCTTTCCGGTTCCGGACTGTGACTGGGCAAGGAGATGTTGAGGAGGGTCCTGAAGCATCAGAGGGATGCCTGCCCCCTGAACCTTGGAAGGCTTGTGGTATCCGAGGGCAAGAAGACCGCGAAGAATCTCAGGTGACCTAACAAGAAAAGAGACGGAGAAGATTAGCATCTGCCAAACGCGGTTTCCAGCGAAAACGTTAAGGGAATGGTCTGGAAGGAAGAATGATTGGAAAAGAAGAGGGTCCCGTACAGGTTGAGGTCTTGGAATGTCGTCGCAGAGTAAAAGGGAGTGTTTTGATCGGCTTGAGATCGCTTAACGTGACCTTGACATTATGTTCCGAGTCCCAGAGACCGGGGCCGCCAACAGCAGAGGGCTCATCACCGGCTGGAGGAGCGGGAGCAGCAGCAGCATCGGCGCCCTCCGCAGGTGGCTCGGTAATACGGCTCGCGAGATCAGCCATCTTTCCGAGAAAGCGTGTGCGCGCGCGTGTGTGTGTGTGTGTGGGTATGAGTGTGTGTGAAGATACTGATGCGACAAAAAATTGAGCGTCAAGGCTCCAGAGGTTGTTGTTGAGTTGAAGGAAGTGTTGTTTGTCGTTGGCGCGAACCAGCAAAGGAAATTCTTGGGCGGGGCAGAAAGCTCGAGGCCAAAGGAGCTACTTTTAAGGAATTTGGTGCGAGGCAGGGAGAGAGGTTGATTGAGGGTGAAGGTGCGCTCCAAGCTATGCTCCAGTGGGGCAACCCGACCAACTTTGATATTTGGTCCCTGGACTGGAACACCGGCCAACGACGGTATATGCTATCTATAAACCGAAACTAACTGTTAGATATAGGATGCCAGGCTACTCCTATATGAAGTAATTGAAGATTGACTTGAAGCTCACTTCTCCGGATTTAGGTACCAGACATTAGTGGGGTGGTCATGAAGCTTGAGGCTACAACTTGGCTTGGTGGGGGTAAAAGGAACTGTGAGGATTGGCGGGGTTGCACCGATGGTTTATCCGATATTCTTCCGGGGGAGGGATGGATTGTTAAATGTACCTTTAACTGGAGCTGGAAAGTCTTCAAATCTGACAGAGCAAGGTCACATACCAAATAAGCAGGCCCGCCTAACATTGAAATTCACGAACGAATAAAGCCCATTTTGCCTCCCTTCTTTTCTTTTTCTCCTTCCCTTATTTCTATAATGGCATCAATGCAGTCCTCGTTTTACATAAGGCGAAGCCCTAGAGAGTCTGGCTTCATTTGGTTTACCATGAAAACGGGACGTCGGAAAGGGTTGATGAAGGTTTAGCGCCAGGCTAGTGGGTCTTGGGCTTTGATACCATCAAAAGTGTGGGGTGGTAAAGAGGCCCTACTGTTACGAGAAAATCCTGAATGCGTCCTTCCGAGAGAGCCTTGCCTCATCGTCATGGCAAGAGCGCTTTCCGGACGCTAGTCTTCTCGGCAACTTGGCTGTTGACATTCCACAGTCGAAATCAAATACATCCACCAGCCATCCATAGATGTACGCAACCAAGAACATGGATGGGAGGGGTTCCGCTGTGGCTTGCTCCAGGAGAATGAGGCTAGTTCCTCCAATACATCAATTGGTCAACTCGTGGATGCATTTAGTATGATTGAGGATTAAGAAGTAGCTGCGAACTCTTATCGAACAACTCAATTCTCGGGAAGAAGGTCGAATCTGGATGTTTTCCTCAGGGGCTGTGCTAGAAGGAATGCTACACCTTTGCTGGCTCAGTGCACTCCTCAGTGGCTGTGGATCAAGTGATGACGGCACTATTTTTCGACTTTGGAGCATCTGGCAATAAACAGTCAATGGATTACTCAGTGGGTCTCAGCTTCACTCGTCCACTACAACCTGAAGGTACTTCGGACACCCTCGCCGAGCCAACGCCAACGTCAAATCGGCCGGGAAATATCCGTCCAGGATCAATTGAACCTCCCCCAGAACTCCATTCTTTACATGTACCGCCGCTCCTCTCCCCGCTCTCTCAACCTGCCCTCGTGGGTTTACATGTTTAAGGCGATCCACATGCTTAGGGAAAACCGTAATATCTCATAATGGCTGAAGTTGAGGCCTTGCCGACTTTCGGCGCCGAATTAAAGGTAGGACCTAGTCGTGTCCCATGGGGAAGCACTCACATGCTCTGGGCTTGCTGGTTTACCCTCGCCCTTCGTTGTCCCGCACACCACCACGACCCTACCTTGCGTGCGTATGGCCTCGTTGCTAACCCTTATAATCCCCGGGTAGGATGGCTTCAAACCAGCCTGCACCTGGGTTGGCCACGAGATCGCCTGGCTTGACGAAATCCAGCAGTTCTACCGCGACCGAAGCGCCATCGAGAAGGAGTATAGCGCGAAGCTGAATGCCCTCGCCAAGAGGTATTTTGAGAAGAAGAACAAAAGGCTGCCATCTTGAGCGTCGGCGAAACTCCGTCCATGACCCCAGGATCGTTGGAAAGGTATGCTTGCTCCTTGCTACCACTTCTAGGCCGGGTTTGAACCGAGCCAGCCTCGCAACCCGTTGACTCTTTCCCGCCCACAATCCCGGCGAAATATTATGAGCGCTAACCGGTTCGCCACGCCCCAGTGCATCTCTGACCACATGGACGACGCAGCTTACGACGATCGAGCAGAGAGCTACCGAGCACGATAAGTACGGCAATGATCTGATCACCAGGGTTGCCGATCCACTCAAGAGTCTTGGGCTACGAGTAGAGGACCTACGAAAGCGCCATATCGAGCATTCGGAGAGACTTGAGAAAGAGAGGGACTCTTCGTATTCCGATCTACGCAAGATGAAAGCCAAGTACGATGCCGCCTGCCAAGAACTCGAAAGCAAGCGCAAGAAGACAGAGTCGTCATTCGACAAGGCCAAAGCCCAGAGCGGCTACCAGCAGCAGCTAATGGATACAAATAACGTCAAGAATACATATCTTATCAGCATCAATGTAACCAACAAGCAGAAGGAAAAATACTTCCACGAGTATGTTCCCGAGTTAATGGACAGCTTGCAAGACCTCTCCGAGTTCCGAACCCTAAAGCTCAACGACCTCTGGACCCTTGCCTCACAGCTAGAGCGGGGCATGCTTGAGCAAAGTCGCGGCCTTATGGACCACCTCGGCCAGGAAATCACTCGCAACCAGCCTCACCTCGACTCTCTAATGTACATGCGGCACAACATTGGCTCGTGGCAGGAGCCATCCGACAAGAGCTTTGAGCCTAGCCCAGTCTGGCACGACGACCCCACCATGGTCGTCGATGAGATGGCCAAGGTGTACCTGCGGAACGTTTTGACAAAGTCCAAGGGCCAGCTTGGGGATCTACGACGCGAAGTGGACAAAAGCGACGGGAGATTGAAAATCTGAAAAAGGTGAAGCAAAAGGTGCGGCAGGGTACGGAGAAGAAGGACGAGGTCGAGGTGGTGCGGCAAATTTTTGCGTTACAGGAAGAGCTTCACGCGCTCGATCGCAAGCGCTTGACGGCAGAGGTCGAAACGTCGACCATCACGTCGACGGTAGGCGACGTGACTCTAGGGGCCAAAACCACAACTTCAAGTCCCAGACATTCAAGATCCCAACAAATTGCGACCTTTGCGGAGAGCGCATTTGGGGGCTGTCGGCCAAAGGGTTCGACTGCAGAGATTGCGGCTACACATGTCACAGCAAGTGTGAAATGAAGGTTCCTGCCGACTGTCCGGGCGAAAAGTCCAAGGAGGAACGCAAAAAACTCAAGGCGGAACGGCAAGAAGCGGCCAATTCTCTGCTTTCTGCACCCACAGGACCCCCTGCCCATGTGGCCGAGCTTCCCGACCTAACCCGGTCCAATACGATGACCTCGTTGAGCTCGGGATACGCAGCCAGCGCAAACAGGTCCATATCCGGCACGGTGTCTACCCCGCTCTCGCCGACAGAAGAAAGCGTACCGAGTGTCCCTAGCCCACAGCCTACCCTTACCCCAGCAGCCGCTGCGGGTGGAGCCCGGAAGAACCGGGTCGTGGCACCTCCCCAAGCTCATACATTAGCGAGCTACCCGGTTCGGCAGACTTTGGCAGCAAAAAGCAGGAGCAGAAGGGGAAAACGCTGTACGCTTTCCAAGCCAGTGGCGAAGGAGAGCTCTCCGTTCCGGAAGGTCGTGAGGTGGTGCTTCTAGAACCGGATGGTAAGTTTTCAGTTGTCAATATCTTTACATGCACTCTTGTATCATGAGACAATCCCTCCCCATTTCCTCTTCCTGCTCCCCTCATCCATTGCCCTGCCAGCATCTAACAAGCATCTTAGATGGAAGTGGCTGGCTCAAGGTGCGCGCCGGATACAAGGAAGGCATCGTGCCTGCCTCGTACGTGGAGCTTTTGGCACCGAGCCCGATAGTGCCGCAGACTACCGGTCCCTCTGGGCGGCCGACATCCACATACTCTAACTCGGGATCCTCCATCGGTGGCTCTTCCTTGCAGGCTAAAAAGAAGGGACCCGCGGTAGCTCCCAGGCGTGGTGCGAAGAGGCTCAAATACGTCGAGGCGCTATACGAATACACGGCGCAAAGCGAAACAGAACACAGCATGGTAGAAGGCGAGCGTTTCGTCCTCATCAAGGAGGATCCCGGCGACGGGTGGGCTGAAGTAGAGAAAGGTGGTGTTACGAAGAGCGTGCCGGCAAGCTATGTCAAGGCGGTTTAGATGCCCGTGAAGCCAACTAGAACCGCTGCGGCTATACGGGAGCCCGTCTCCCCGCGGCCTGGCCCGGCAACCTAGCGCAGGAATTCCAAGTACAGACGGCGCGGCGGAAAACGACCAGCGTCAGACTTGTGAAGAGCCCGAGCCAAAGAAGTTCGAGGGAGGTAGACAGGATTAGCGCGGGGAGCGCGGGAGCGCGTGCCAGTGTCACGGACTTTAGGCAGCGCCCTGTCTTGATGGTGGCTATGGATCCCATGGTATGATTTCCCATGTATGGAGGTGTGCTTTTAGTGAGCTCTTTGCCACCGTGAGCTGCAAGTCCAGGCGCAAGGGAGGGAGGGTCCTTTTTTTTTTTTTTTCTCTCATCGCTATTGTCTCAACCCAAGAGGTTTTGTTTTCCGTTAACGGGCGGGCTGTCATCCATTGCATGGTCGTCAAAAGAGCGGGGTCTTGCTTGCTCAAATGGGGTTCCATTCCTCTTCTTCTTGTACCGAGAACTTGGGCGCATTTTTTATTCTTGTTCGGGAGCATGCATCGGGACGGCTGCGGAGCACATGTGCCAATCGAAGGAACTGGCGCGCGGTTCATATCATACTCAATCAACGGCTGATGCCGTCAAAGACAAAGAGTGTGGACGAATTACTCCGTAGTCTCTAGGGGTATTGTTGACTCAAAGTGAGCAGGCTTCGCAAGGGGCACAATTATGTCGCCAAGTAGTTGATCCGTCGATGCTCGGCCACCCAGCATAGTGTAGATATCCTCGCCAAGAAGAGCGCATCGGGTTGCATCCTCTTAGTTCAGTCGTACTCGGTGAGACGCTGCTTTTCGTGTCTTTGGTGCATTGGCTCTGTCGTGAACTAATAATACTGTTATTGACACTCCTGCGTAGGATTCCCCTTCTTGGAAATGAGAATCTCATACATGTAGAGTTGAAGGTGAGCGATGACCGCCAAGAGCGGTCGGCGGTGAGAACAAAGGTCACCATGGAGTGTGTTGCAAGTTGTATTCAAATTAAACATGTTGATGAATGGGACCCCGAGGGGGCGGAGAGGCAGATTCTGCTTTCCTCGAGGCGCAAGGCATTTTTTTCTATTATCTTTCTTTCTTACCTGTTCTTTTTCGGCTCGGCGAGGGGTTTTTTCCCCGTCTCTTTGGTTCAACTCCAAGTATTAAGATTTGGGTTGGCTGGGCTTTGGCACGGCGTGGTGGCGGTGGAAGCTGGGCGCAATCTCACGAGGGCGCACTCCGGGCCCCGGCAAAGCATCGGACCGGGGGGCTCGTAGTGTAGACTAAGGACTGGGATAGGGTGGTGGTGGTGATGATGATTAGATAGGTGGAGATGCGGCGGCGCGAATTGCTGCAGTCCGCCATTCTCGGTGGATTGTTTAAGCTAGACGCAGGAGAGTTGGCCGGGGACCCAGCGACCGGTTTTTGAAAAATTTCCGTGATATTGAGCATCTTGTCTTGTGTCGTGGGGACGCACAGGGAGTAGGCGAGGCGTTTCCAAATGAAATCTCTGCCCTTTTGATTCTTGCTTTGTTTAGCGGGAGGCAGTTGCTAGCCAAGCGAAGCCAACCCTACATGTAGTATGCTCAATCACGATACACCACTCCAGAGAGCAACCCGTCGACACCGGGCCATCATGGACGATGGAGCCACTTGCCTCGAGTATTTCCGTTGTGGCAGTCTCGCAGAAACCCCTTCAGGAAAGCATTGGAGGGACTGGCCCCCAGCAGAGGACAGACGGGCTGCGTGCACTTTTCGTTTCCACAGGTATCACAGCTATTGTGTTTATATCAAAGAGGGCGAGGGTATCGAGGCGGGCACACGCTCCTGGAAGATACCTCTCAGCGCCAGAACTCCCGAGGCCCTTTTTTACATAGCATAGCATCCCCCACTCTCCCGCACCCGCGATGTTGGGCATTTGGGGAGGTCATTCATCGCTGTGGGGTTCATGATTATAACGAAAGATACGAGCACAAAACCGACAATTCTCGTTCTCGATGAACTCGTAGGCTTATGAAGAGGGGAGAAAAAAGGACCTTGCTTGTGGAAAGAGACACAGGCAAAGATCCCACGACAGGTAAACTGGCTTTCCAACCTTTGAATGCCTGTTCATATCACCAGTTATGGTGAGGGAACGGTGTCGCCTATAATACTTCGAAAAGTATTTCGCGAATGAGATGGGCTCCTGGTTTCTGACCGCATGTCGTCATCCATCGCACCGTTCCCTGCTCGGTAGATTTCCCACATGCAATCTCCAGGCCGCGGTCGATCTTGGCATCCACGGGTTGATACCTGCAGACCGCCGCGCCGTTGCCGTCGATCGAGCCGGGAACCTTATTGGAAGCGGCGATTTGACGCAAGGATCTCCCTTTTTCTTTTTTTCTCTTTTTTTTTCTTGGATACAATTCCCATAACAGGATATCGTCGAGAACGTGGCAAGAAGAGAGAGGAGGGGGAACATCCTACAAAAGGAAAGAGGGAGGAATATGCGGTTCAAAACCGGGACACGGCACGGCAAGTCGATATCGTCTCGGCCTCTGCTCGCCTCCGGTTCCCCATGTCATGGGTGAAGGCAACTACCCCCTTTGATATGGCCGTGGCCCAACTGTGTACTCGGAATCACCAGACGACAGTGGTTTCCTCATGTAGTTCCGAGTCGCTTTTTCATTCGGTCTTTTGACTTGGATTTCCTTGGTGGGAGGCCGTATTCCTCCAAGAGCACAAAAAGAGGCAGGACAGCCACGAAGCGCCGCGTCATCATATGGAGTCCAGGAATCGCTCTTCTGAATTACGAGGTGAAATCTGAGCAGCCCCTCGCATTAGTGCAGAGAGAAAATAGACTCTGGTCGAATCCGAGCAGTCGATACAAGCGCCCTCAGCAGACCGACCTCTTGGGGGTTTTGCATTTTGATTTAGATCTTCGGGGATTTTCCACGTTGAACGCTGCTCCTTTTTTGTCCTGGCCAATTCAAGTCATCAAGTCTCAAGGAGACTCCATCTTCCGCCTCTTTTCTAGTTTTTCCCGCACTCACATGAAACGGACCAGCACTGGGGGAGGGAAAAGAAAAGTGGAGGGCAAGGGGGATTGACTCTCCACACAGGCCCTCGACAGGCCGTCGACAGGCTCTCTAGAAGAAAGAACATTTGGCGACTGTGGGAACTGTGGGAAATGATTGGTATATCCTGTCCGTGTTGGGTAAAGGAGGGTGGATCAATTGATCGCTCCAAATCTTTCCAAGGCGCCCTCCAAGAGCACTGCCACACCTTGCACACGTTCGCGTGAGGAACTCGAGCGCCCAGGTTTCAGCCAAGTAACGGAAGTAAAATGGAAGCCTCCACTCCATTGGTCCACATCTCAACCCCTGAATCGACGCCGTCAGTTTCCCTGGACGGTGCTTTGGTCCAATCGATGGGGGCAAGTCTGAGCATTACGAGGATTGAGGCAAAGAGAGGACAGGCATCGCCCCCTGAATTGACGGTGGAGCCAAAAACCAGAGAGCAGCACAGGTGGCAATCGTGAATCGTGGCGCCAGGCCGCAATTGATCAATTCCGATCTCCCAAAACACCGCGGACGTTGGTGGAGAATGCTCCGTCTTTTTCTCCATTTGACACCACAGGGGTTCCGGAGCATTGATGCACTGGCTCAGGATACGGAGGCAAGGAGGCAAGGAGGCTAGAGCATGTGAGCTGAAGACCGTCAATGGATCTGAGTTGTCTCTTTTGCTTGGCCTTTTGCCTCTTTTATGCCTCTTGCGGGCACGTTGACCGTGAGGGGAGACATCTCATTTTGTCACCGTTGGCAAAAAGTCACCAGCTTCTTGTAAATGTGCGTGTGCGTGTGCGTGTGTGTCTGTCTGGTCTGTGTATGCGTCGCGGTCCATCTCAATCCGTTGGCTGGAAGAAATGCGGATTTCCTTCTTGGGCATAATAGCAGGAGCTCCTGCGAGGATAATACTTCGTAATAAACGAGATGGCCTGGCCCATCTCGTATTGTTCCATAATAGAGCAATGAGCTTATGAAGTCACCTTCGTGTTGCACAGTGCATTCTACGTTCGAAAAGCAAGGGGGAAATAAACACGCTTGCGTTGAGCATGCACGACAAGCCCAGTCCGTATTGATACCCGCAAGATTTTTAATCGTGAATTGATCAATGTCCATCTTCTACAAGCGTCTGGTTGGGCAATCACCAGATGTGCAAGTATTCCCAATTGAACTTTTCGACAACACCGTAATACTATCAATTTCAGTGGCTCGACTGTGGCCTGGCCAGCTGCTGAGCAGGCAAAAGGGGGCAAGAACAAGGGAATCAAGGAAACAGAAGCAGAAGTTGGTTCGAGCGTCCCTCCGTCTTGGGACATTAATTTTCTTGGTAGCAATGACATGACTAGAGTGGCGAGGTTCGCCAAGGTGCCAAGTACCAGTCACTTTCCAATAGATTAAACTGGCGCAAGATATTCCAAGAACCCCTTCCTCGTCTTGAGCCGCCGTCGACCTCCCAGCGAAGCTAATTTGGAGAATTCTGCTCGCTGCGTGTGGGCTGAAGTCCAGTGATTCCTTGGTTGCCAAGCTCGCCCAGTCGAAGGAGGAGAGCTCATCGTGCATCGCTCAAAGGCCAAGACTCGAAGAAACGGAGGACATGTGCAAAGTTTCAATTTTCTTTTCTTTTCTTTTTTTTTTTTTTTTTTTTTCCCTCTTCGTCTCCTCAAACATGGAGGGAAGGAAGTGTACGTACTGGAGAGTCCATGTCCCTTTTTGCTGGCTGACTGCGGAGAAAGTAACTTCTCGGGCGCTTTCCGGAAGCAAGGAACAAAATGCAGGTACCGCTCTGCACACCGTCCGTGTCCGTGGTGGCACCGTAAACTTGTTCTGGCATGGATCTGGGTCAATTGCATGTCCCTCCCTTGCCAGCAGCAATCAATTGAATCGGGTAGTTGATCTCCCTACCGTTGGTCCAAGCCCCCTGCCCATCAATTCCCTGAACCCCAACCTGCTTGGGCTTGGTGGAGACAGAGTGTTCTGCCGTGGAGAGTAGTACGTACTTCGTACTTTGACATCCACTAGACGAGCCACCATCCAGAACCCGTTTTGATAAACAGGAGGTGGTTCCATCTTGTCTCGCCAGTCTGGATTTCTGATTCAACTCTTTCATCCTTCTTTCCTCACTTCTTCCTCTCACTCGTTCCCTTTTTTTCTTCCCTTATTTTTGTCTTGGCTCATTACCAAAGACATATTTCACCTTTCCTACTCTCGTTACCACAAGGTCATATCATTCATTGTTGGCCGATTCCCTTTTTTTTTTTACTTAGTACTCGCTTGTAATAAACTCACCCCTGAATCCTGCCGATCTTCGCGCTCCTCGAACCGAAGCCTTTTTTTCACGAGCAGCGTCCAATCCTCCCAGCGATCAATTGAACCGTTTGCACACCTCACAGTATACGCCTAGATCCGCCACGATGCACGCCGGTCTCGTTCTTTCCGGCCTCGTGGCCCTCGTGGCCGCCACTCCTACGGTCGAGAAGCAGCTCCCCAACCGTGCTGCCTCTCTCCCCGCCGTCACCGCGTCTGGAAATGGTACGTTCTCTCTCTCACCATCCATATCCTCCGCCGTTCGCCTAGGCTTCCCTCTAGATGTGTGACCGACAACGATGTAGGGTGATGGGGGTTTCGTCGGCCTCTTGGAAGCAAGAAAGAGCTAATCCGTGATGATGTTGACAACAGCTTTCTGGGTCGGCAACGAGCGATTCTATATCCGTGGCATTGACTACCAACCCGGCGGCTCCTCCTCCGACGATGACCCGCTCGCCCATCCTGACATCTGCCTCCGCGATATCGCCAAGTTCAAGAAGTTGGGCGTTAACACCATCCGTGTCTACATGGTCGACAACACCCTCGATCACGACGAGTGCATGACGGCCCTTGCCGAGGCCGGCATCTACTTGGTCTTGGACGCCAATACCCCCAAGTACTCTATCAACCGAAAGGACCCTTTCCCTTCGTACAACGGCGCCTACCTCCAAAACGTCTTCGCCACCATTGACGTCTTCCAGAAGTACGACAACACCCTCGCCTTTTTCTCCGGAAACGAGGTTATCAACGAGGAGCCCGGTACCACAATCAGCGCTCCCTACGTCAAGGCCGTCACTCGCGACATGAGGAGGTACATCAAGGAGCGCAAGTACCGCGGCATCCCCGTCGGCTATTCTGCTGCCGATGTCTCCGAGAACCGTATGCAGACTGCCCACTACTTCAACTGCGGCCCCGATGACACCCGCTCCGACTTCTTTGCCTTTGTGCGTATCCTCCCAACCCCCTCTCTGTCATCATCTACCGCGATCGCGCTCGATGAGCCTTGCCCCTGATAGAAGCTAACATTATCGGACTCTGCAGAACGACTACTCGTGGTGCAGCTCCAACTACACCGTCGCCGGTTGGGATAGGAAGGTTGCCAACTTCACTGGTTACGGTCTTCCCATTTTGTGAGTTCCTTGTGCCCCGACCCCGCTTTCCTCTCCCTTGGTAGTCATCCACAACACCCGGGCATGGCTAACGCGTTCATCGCCTTGCTAGCCTTTCCGAATATGGCTGCAACACCAACAAGCGTGACTTTGGCGAAGTGGAGGCCCTCATGAGCAGCGAGATGACCGGTGTCTACTCGGGTGGTCTCATGTACGAATACACAATGGAAACCAACAAGTACGGTATTGTAAAGATCAGCAGCTCCGGCGAGGTCACCGAGCTCGACGAATTCGCCAACTTCCGCAGTGCTCTTGCCAAGTACCCCGCTCCTTCTGGTACCGCTGGCGCCACGGCCACCACGAGCGCCGTCGATTGCCCTGCCCAGGATGCTGCTTGGGAGGTTGACCCTGATATCCTTCCTGCCATGCCTACCACTGCCGAGAAGTACTTCTCCGAAGGTGCCGGTACCGGACAAGGTTTTGCCGGCCTCGGCTCTCAGACCGACTGGGACTCGGGTGTTTCTGCCCAGAATATCACTGGCACTAGCAAGTCGGGCCCTGGCGCGGGCTCCGGTACCTCGGAGGACGCTGCTGGCCGTCTGAACCTCGGCGCCGGTGCCATCTTCGTGACTGGCGGTGCCCTCGCCTTCAGCCTGTTTGGCACCCTCCTTCTCTAAGCGGAGGTTAGCAATACGGAGTAAATTTGGAATAGTAACGATGTGTTTGTATGAAAATTAACAGCAAGAAAGCCATTCATTTGATTAAAAAAACCCCCATGGATGTTGCAGTCTCTGTATTGTAGTGGGGAGAATTTCATGATGGTTGCTTGTTCTGTCCCCTTTCAAAGACCCAACGGGTCACTTTCTTCTTATCGTTTGTCCTTCATTATATCAGAGTTTCTTGTCATTACTTTAATCCTTAGATCCCTTTTTTAACTCCTTTTGGTTACTTATATGATAATTTATGCCTACTCCTGCCTCGTGTGGCGCTTGCCGCCTCCCTAATTCCTGGCAAAGGAATCCAACAACGTTCTGAGCGACTGGAGAGTGCAGAAGGGCCAGCTATGTGACTTCTGCTTGAAAATCAAAGAGGAGGTCAAAAAGACGGTGGGAAAATTTTCGTCATTTAGAGACTAGAGATGCCTAGGGCTGTGAGAAAGGAAAGGAAGAAGAAGAAAAACAAAGAAAAGAAAAAACAAAGAACTGCTCGGCGCTCTCATCGGCTCACGATCCGAAACGAAGTGCGGTTGATAATGCAGTCTGGGGTATGCAGGGAAGGTGGGGGCGATGGTTAATCGAGAATCCGGCGCGAGGAGATTGATTATGTCAATATAATGATACTCGTTGAGGCTGTCAGGTCCTTTCAGGTCCTTTTGGTTAGAATACCTATCCACTGTACGTCATTTGAGCGCATGTGATCGAGGCTACACTGGGCAGCTTGGCGGACCGGGCAAAGAATGGCTTTTCTTCGGGGATTTCAGCTCTTAAGGAGGCCCCGTTTGAGCGTCAGTATGGTTGGAGGTCGAAGGGGAAGATGACTCTCTTTTAGGTGGTAATAACAGACAAGCGTGCTAGGAACCGCTGTTCCCTTCCGTCGCATTCCCTCAGGTGTCCGATCTGGAAATCAATTCTCCCGACGGAATGAACGGAGATTGGGATTTGAGCCATCGACGAAAAATGGCGAGGATGGGAAGTGGGAGGTTTGGCGAGGCCAGTGAAGAATGACAAGGAAGGTACTCGATGTGCCCATACTAAATACCGGAAGGCGTGGGGTACTCCAAAGTAGACCAAGGAGGATGGATCGGCCAGTGGGGTATGTTGCACTGCACTGCACCATCCCGACAGTAGCCACCAGCAAAGGGGAAGAAAGCACGCTCCAGAGTCTCCGTTGGGTGAAATTTCGCCTAGGGGACCCGACCCAGTCGGAATGGGGAAAAGGGAAGGAACCCGTTTTGGGGAAAACCTTCCTGCCCTGTGCACTTCTCTCGTCCTTAGCTCGGGCTCTCACATGTCTCAACATGCGCCCAGGTTCGTCCCTGCCCATCAGCTTTCCCCGCCGAAGAGGGACGTCCCCATGCGACCTCGGTACAAGTGCGATTCCAGCGTCATCAATTGCAACAATCCACCATGGCCATTTTAAAGCTTGCGACATTCCCGCCCCCAGATTTAAAGAAAGTCCCCCATCTATTCCAGCACGGGCTTCATTGTCTTTATATCTCTTTTCCTTTTCTCCTCCTTAGTCCTTTTTCCATCGTTTCCACGTATATTTTCTCAACCTTGTACACTCGATTCGGCCAGAACCCCTCGTCGTCACCCAACCATCTCAACCATGTCTCTCAAGAACGGTGCGTCATCCAAAGACCCTCCTTAGCTTCTTCCGTCGCCATCCTTGTGGACGAACGCGCACACACATTCACGCGTGGGCGCAAACGTTTGACTCACTCGCGGAGTGCGGGATGATGGGATATCTCCTTGAAACCCCTCACAATGGGATTTGGGGAAGCCAACGTGTAACAACGTGCAAAGCTAATCACCCTCGCCTTGTCTACAGATCAGTTCCCCTCGTCCGAGGCCTTCGACGCCATCAACGCCGCTCTTACCTCGAGCGACGCTGATCGCAAAGACGCCATCAAGCAGGGAGGCGGTGTCTACGCCTTCACCCTCAAGAACGCCGCCGGCCAGGAGGAGAGCTGGTACATTGATCTCAAGGAGAAGGGCGAGGTCTTCAAGGGTGTTCCCGCCAAGGCGAACGGTTAGTATTTTTTTTTTGTTCTTTTCTTTCTTCTCCTCTTTTCTGTTTATATGGCCCTCCTTTCTCGCCATTCCTCGGGTAATATTTCGTTGCTGCTATCGGAATACAGGAGGACACCAAATCTTGGAACCAGTCCTTTTCGTGTAGCGTCTCAGCTCTAACAGCCAATCTTTGCGCAACCCTTAGTCACTCTCTCCCTCTCCGACGAGAACTTTGGCAAGCTCGTCACGGGCAAGGCCAACGCCCAGAAGCTCTTCATGGGCGGCAAGCTCAAGGTCAAGGGCGACGTCATGAAGGCCACCAGGATGGAGCCCATTCTGAAGAAGGCCCAGAGCAAGGCCAAGCTCTAAAGGATCTGCGCTAGAAATGAGTGGCTACATGCCCTTTTTCTTTCTTTTAATATCCGCGCAAAAGCATCTCTATCTTTCAGTATATGATACCTTGGCATAGTTTAGAGGGTGAAACGATTTTTAACGGAACACGAGACGGGCGGGCGAACCCCGGACGGGCGGAGGCGCGTGTGGGCGCACACGCGGCATGGTTCACGTAGAGGGGCAGTTTGAACTGTACAATATGTAGAGGGCTCTTCTCCTACCTCGGTCTACGAGCTTGAATTGAAAACATTATTCAAACTACACATTCAGTTATAGCTATGTTGCCTCATTCCTTTGTAGGGAATGAACCCAAGCACCAGTGCTCCGATCCTCTTCTACCTCTTCTCTCTCATGAACAGCCAGCTAGAATCTTGAGGTAGCATCCAAGGGTTTGAAAAGCTCTTCTAAACTCACTCCGGCCTCCTCGCCACGAGCTCAGGGCCAAGATGCTGTCTAAACCACGCAACAGCCTGGTCCTCAGCCTGCAGGCCAAACCTCGCCTGTTTTTCGTCGTGAGGGTTGCCACGAACGGCAAACCCGTGGGTAGCGCCTTCGTACAGTCTTACCTCGCAGTCGCTCCTAGCCTCGAGCAGCCGCCTACACTCCTGGATGTCGGACGCGCTCATCCACTCGTCGGTGGTGCCAATGGCGAGGCTCAGCGGCACAACTACAGGGCTGAGGTCGGCGGGGACGGAGACAAGAGACGGGTGAGCAGTGAAGGAGGCGTCCACGAGGTTGGCGCCGATCGAGGGCGACGAGAAAGGGTGGGAGAGGAGGAGGGCGTACTTGCCGCCCCAGCAAAAGCCCGCGAGGCCGATCTTGGGGGCTGTTCTTCGTCGGCGGCGGCGGAGCCGGCGTCGTCCGGACGTTGGCTTGCGCGGGCAAAGGGGGCGGGGGCTGGGATTTCAGGTTGGCGAGGTAGGCTCCCAGGCGGGAGGTGATGGCGGAGGGGCGGAGGGAGGTGAGGAACGGGAGGTAGTGGATTGCCGTGAGGACGATGCGTTTGGGCTGGAGGATGAAGGTGCGGCGGAGGAAGGAGGTGGATTGGGAGGCGATTTCGTCGCTGAGGGCGAGGATTTCTAGGGGAAGGCGTTGCCTGTGTGGGGGCGGATGAGCGGCGATGCGACGCGTGGCTTGGGTTAGCTGGGACATGGATTCAGGGCAACATTTGAAGACTCTGGCATGAAAAAAATTGACAAGGGGAAAAAAGAGGGCGTAACAGTGGAAAGAAGGGAGGCAGCGAAAAGGATAAGTCAGAGCAAGGTTTCGATCATACATGTATTTCTAGACAGGGTATGAAGAAAAACAGAAAAGCAAACGAGTGGCACTCTCACCTTGCATCAAGTCTGGCAGGAGGACGACGGCGGGGATCCTCTGCGCGTAGGCGTCGGCCAGGGCGCGCATGTTGCGAAATTCCCAGCCAAAGGCGTCGGGGGCGATGACGACGATGCCGACGGGTTCGGCGGGCGGGGCGGGGCGGGCGACATAAGTGGGGAGGCCGTGGATGGTTTCGACGGAGCCGGCGGGCTCGACGTCGCCGCGGAGGGTGCCTTCGAAGCACTTGGCGCAGAATTTGGGGAGGGCGTCGGGCATGGTTAATGGGGGCGGCTAGAAGAGGTTCGATGTTTGCGGGGAGGGATAGATAGGGCGATGAAGGGTGAGCTTGGGGAGATTTAAGGGCTCGTCACGATAGTCTTGGTTGATTAGAGTAGTGGATGGAGAGAAAGATTCAAAGAGAGAGGGGTTGGGGTAAGATGGGGTAGATTAATTGATATTGAGACATTGGCATCAACCTCTTTTCGTGTTCAGCTCGTCCACTTCAGGTATGGACTCATACCCGCAGCTGAGGAAGGTCATTTAAAGCTGCTCCTCGCTAGAGTCGAACTACATACATAAAAACCACCTCAGCTGTTCGTGCAATAACACTGGGGCCCGCTACAGAGTTGGATTAAAACGGACGAGTTGTCTACGAAAATAGATAAAATAAAAATTACACTGTTGGTAGTGAGCGCTTACTTCCCGACGAGATGGGTCTATCTCGCTCCGCTTCCAGGTGGGAATAATGGTTCGTGATGTTTGCGGGATGACGATGAGAGAAGAAGCAGTGGACGGGCGGAGTGGAGCTGCGAGAGGCCAGTTAGCGGATCGCGTCATATTAGGTCCCCTCTGCCCCCCACCAACGTAGGAATTCTCATCCGGAGCCCCGATTTTCACCTCACCTAGACAAAGTCAAGAAGGCCATCTTCATCAAATTTCGCCGATATATTTTGTTACACACAAGGCTCATACGAACACGTGAGTGCCGTCTCTCTTCGCCTGCCATGGTATGTACGAATTGTCACTCCAGTCCTTCCTAAAGATGCCCAAAGGCGTATGTATCCATATATATATATGTGCCCGCCCACCTGCAAGAGAGGCTCACTTTGGCTCACTTAATCCGGGGAGGGAATTAATAATAAAAAGGTTCACGCCGATGCTTCCAACTTTGCCAGCGACTTGACGAAAGAAGAGGTCTATGACCTTGTCTTGCTTCAGGCCAAGGGCCTAGTCGCGGATCAAAGAAATTGGGTAAGGCTAGAGAATCTGATGTATCCGAAAGCTTGATGATCGACTCACTCACGTCAAAGCTCTGATCTTGTGCGTCACGTAGGTCTGGTAAGTCTTGTTCAATTACATTTCTCTCCCCCAAAAACTGCAACACAAGGCCCCTATCCATTGATGCCGTCTCTTGCCTAGAGAGACGATACTGGGGTCTTGGGTCTTTGATCTTAACCGTGTTGTAGCAACCTTGCCAATGTAGCTTCCCTTCTCTGGCACGCATACAAGTCACTCCCTGCTCCTAGCTCCCACGTAAACTGGGCTGGTAAGTCCTCCATACAGGGAGATTATCTGGTCTTTTACTATACGCCTCTAGAACCAATCTGACGCCGGGTACCTTGCGTTCTTCTTTAGGATTTTACACCCTAGACTCCTCTGACGCTTCAGGACAATCCCTTATCCTCGGCCCATTCCAGGGAAAGATTGCCTGCCAAACCATCGCCTTTGGCCGGGGCGTTTGCGGCACCGCCGCCCAGACGGGCGAGACACAGCTCGTTCCCAACGTCCACGAATTTCCCGGGCACATTGCCTGCGACAGCGACAGCCAGAGTGAAATCGTTGTGCCCATTGTCGTGTCCGCTGACAAAGAGAGCAGTGTCGAGGGTGCTACGAAAGTTGTGGCCATCATCGACATTGACTGTGCGGTACAGAATGGGTTTGATGAGGTGGACGCCAAGTATTTGAAGGAGCTGGCGGCTTTGTTGGCGGAGAGTTGTGACTGGTAATATGGGGGCATCCATGTAACCTAGCTGGTCATTGCGATCATTGTACCTGGAGAGGGCATGATAGTCACCGGGCTCACAGGGGGCGCGGGTACAAATAGAATGGCAAAAGATACAGGGAGGAGACTAATTGAGAGGTAAAAAGAAGTGCGAGTAGTGGAACTGGTTTCCCTTGAATCGAAAAAGAGCAAAAAGAGAGCAGAGGTGGCCCATTAAAAAGTAGTAGGTAGCAAGTGCATCTCCGCTAAAAGTCAACCTCAATGACATTGAACCACGTATCACCCGACTTCATCGCCGCGTTCACCAGGTGAGTTGCCTGCCCGCGCAAAAGAGGTCGACCTCGAGACGCAAAGAGCCCGCGCACCCTTGAGAAGAAGACATGCATCGCCAACATGGCGAGTGACGCCCAGCTCCCCGAGGACATGACGCGCTCGTACCAATACTGAACCGAGTCAAACTTCATGATGGCCTCGCCGTGGTCAATGTGCGCATGACCGCAGACCATCAGCGGAGGCTTGACGCGCCAAATCTCATGCAGCAAAGAAGAGCATCCGTAGCCGGCATCGAGGTGGTAGCGAGGCGGGCTATGGCACAGGACGATATCCGTGTCTGAAGGAATGCGGTCCTCCCAGTAGTATTCGGCTAGCTCAGGCTCGATGGAGAATCCAAACGGCCCACAGCGTATCGTACCTGGGTTGCCATAGATTTTGATATCCCTAGTTTCCGAGTCCCCTACAGATGTCATGAAAGAAAAGGTCATCAGAGAAGCTCGTCTGCACGGAGTTTGAGATGTATAGCACGAAGAAAGGACCAGAAAAAGGGGTGAATCAAAAGGAACAGAGAGAAAAAAAAAAAAAAAGGGGGGCTTGGGAGAAGAAGCGCCGCGCGCCTTTGCACAGTCAACATCAAGAGCATCAGCCAAACTTACCCTTTTCCGTTCCAACCTCGACGGAGAGAGTGGCCGCACTATTTTGGAGATATACGACATCGCCCCATTCAAGGTCAGCCTTGGTCCGGCCAGGGACCTTATCGTGGGAGCCCTGTTCCTTTTCCGGGTGCGCCTCGACGAAATCGGTGTCCAGCAGTCCGTCGTGATTCCCGCCAATCACCACCTTGTGTTTGTGCGGCAACGTGTTGAGCCAGTCCAGCTGCGCCTGGAGCTCCCGGTAGGTGCCCCCGTCCGTTAGGTCGCCGGCGTGAAGTAGGACGTCGCCCGGCGGCAGTTCGGGCTTGTAGTTGTGAGTGTCCGAGATGCATACAATCTTGACCCGGTTCCGGATCCCCTGAGGACTCGTGGTAGCCGAGACAGACGGCGACGTCTGCTGCCCCGCCCTTTGGGCGATGCGGTAGAGATTTTGAGCAATGTGCCTAGGCTTGCCCACTACGGGGACGGGCCGTGGCGGCGGCTGGTTAATTATTACGTGACTATCCATCGGGGAAGTCGACGGCGGGGGGCAATAGCTCGTGCTGGTTTATTCCTGAGTTTAAGCACGGAGAGAAAGGTGGAAGACACTGTCTGTTTTATGTAGGCACAATATTAAGCTGGGGAACGAGATGAGAAAAAGTGATCACGGGATCGAGGCTTCAGTTAGATCCAGGGAGGCAGCTATATTATTCAACTGAGTCAACGAAAGCCAAAGCTCGTGCTTCAACCCTGTACCGATGATGCACTGTCGTCTTGTATTGCTCCAGCAAGTACAGCTGGAGCACCGATACGCAAACGGGCAAGCGAGCGCCGTCTCCAGGCAGGTTCGCCAGTCACCAATCAGGACCAGTGGATTGGCCATGGACCAGCAGACCTGTCCACAGTCGAGTAATACGCCCTTTGAGAATCTATCTGGAAAAGGCCTGCAGCACACTATGCGCTTACTAAGGCTTCTAGAAGACCACCTTGCAAGATTCCGCTGGGAGACCAAATTGATTTCCCGAGACATAGCCGAAAATGACAGCCAACCCGCAGCGAGCAAGACAAGGAACTAGTGCAAAGTTGTCGCAAGGTGGCCGATAAGCTTTCCTTATCGGCCAAAGTACACGTTGAAATTGTGCATTGACTGGCGACGAGAGGCGTGGGATATTTCCACTTATAGTAGCGTAGCCAAAACTGCCAGCTCGACACAAAGACCACCAACCCAACTCCGTGTCTCTACCCTCGAGAGCACTCTTCTCCCACCCCTCCCTTCCTTTCAATCCGAGAGCGTGTCTCTGAAAGTGCACGTTAAGAAATTGTCTTCGCTCACTAATTTCTCCTTCCCTTCACTCTGACATTGATCAATGGTTCCAATCTACAACCCTTGAGCGATCTCGCCCCCTTACCCTTCTCTTCCTCTCTCTTTCTTGTTCTTGCCTCCTTGTTGCATTGCAACCTGGCATCTCCTCCCTCATCTCGACGGGGTTTACAGCTTTAGGAACAGGAGCTCCCTAGCCCGTTCTTCTCCTTTACCTTACCTTTTTTTTTTCACCCGCTTGCCTAGCTTAAAAGAGATACCCATTTTTTGTTATATTCTACTACCGCCATCATGTTACTGAAGAAAGCTGCCATTCTGCTCTTCTCTCTGGCGCAGCTTGCGCTCAGTGCAGAAGACTACTACCAGGTAGGTCTTCGCCCCCCTCTCTTGCCTCTTTTTCCTGCACAACACAGTCTAACCATGCCCCCAAAACACACAGGTCCTAGGTGTGAGCCGAGACGCCCCCGAAAAGTCCATCAAGTCCGCCTACCGCAAGCTCAGCAAGAAGTTCCACCCCGACAAGAACCCAGGCGACAGCTCCGCCAAGGACAAGTTTGTCGAGGTCTCCGAAGCCTACGAAGCCCTCAGCGATCCCGAGCTCCGTCGCATTTACGACCAGTATGGCCACGACGGCGTCAAGCAGCACAAGGAGAACGGCGGCGGGGCCGCCGCCAGGACCCTTTGACCTCTTCTCCCGCTTCTTTGGCGGCGGCGGCCACTTTGACGCCCGCGAGAAAAAGGGCCCCTCGGTCGAGCTGCGCGTCGCCGTCGGTCTCCGCGATTTCTACAACGGCGCCGACACCGAGTTCCACTGGGAGAAGCAGCACGTCTGCGAGCAGTGCGACGGCACCGGCGCCGCCGACGGCGTAGTCGAAACCTGCCCCCACTGCCACGGCAACGGCATGCGCATCGTCAAGAGGCAGCTCGCGCCCGGCATGTTCCAGCAGTTCCAGTCCCCCTGCGACGCCTGCGGCCAGCGCGGCAAGATCGTCAAGCACAAGTGCCCCACGTGCCAGGGCCAGCGCGTCATCCGCAAGGCCACGCCCGTCGACCTCAAGATCCCCGCGGCGCCCCTAAGGAGTTCCGCATCATCTACGAGAACGAGGCCGACGCCCACCCCGACCACGTCGCCGGCGACCTCCACGTCACCCTCCTGCAAAAGGACCCCGACCTCCACGACGACAACCCGGACAAGGTGGACGGGGCCTTTTTCGCCGCCGCGGCGACGACCTTGTATGGAGCGAGGTCCTCTCCCTGAGGGAAGCCTGGATGGGCGATTGGACCCGCAACCTCACCCACCTCGACGGCCACGTCGTGTACCTCGGTCGTAAGCGTGGCGAGGTCGTCCAACCTGGCCAAGTGGAGACCGTCGTCGGCGAGGGCATGCCTAAATACCACGAGGATGGCGATAGCGTTTACCACAAGACCGAGTTCGGAAACCTCCTCGTCGAGTATACCGTAATCCTGCCCGACCAGATGATCAGCGGCATGGAGAAGGACTTTTGGTCCATTTGGGAAAAGTGGAGGGCCAGCAACGGCATCGACCTGCAAAAGGATGGCGGGCGCCCCATCCCCGAGAGCAAGCCATCCCATGACGAATTATAAAACTTGGCATCCCCTAAGGGGTAGAAAGAGAAAAGGCAGACACAGGACAGACAACGTGTAGGACCCCGCTCGTTTAGCCCTCTCCTTCCTTTGTCCGGTCTCATCGTCCACCTCCTCATTTCCCCCTTGTACTTTTGAAGTGTTGCGCGTATCTTGTTGTTTCGCCCTTCTTCTTTCTATCGTCTCTGTTGCTGTCTTTCTTTTCCTGGCATTACCGATTTTTCTTGGTTTTCTTTTCTCTTCTTTTGGCGTTTTGAGTAACGGAGGTTTGGGAAAGCATTACAGTTGTGGAGAGATAGGAGGTTAATGAAGACCCTCCCCCAAATCCGTTGATAGATGATCTCGAGCAAGTGGAGTAAAATAGAGAGGGAGAGGGAACAGAGCCTGGAAAGTCCAGAGGCGAGTCTTGGGATTTTTGTGTATAGTTTTGGACAGTCTCAATCTGCCATGATGGGTCTGAATTCAAATATATCTGAATACATATTTCTATATATGTAACCTTCTGAACATGGGGTTTACTTGTAAAGGTGACCGTGAAGTAAATATGGTAAAACGGAGCGTCTGAAAATCAGACATACTGTTTTCCCCCAGTCCAGGAAAGGAGAACAAGCATCAAAAAGCAATCGTCATATCATTTCTCTTCCACCTTCTAGCCAATGTCAAAGTTCAAGTCGTGAAAAGTCGTAGATCCAAGAAGCCGCCCCTTAAATCACCCATAATCGAAGCCATCAGAAGAGAAAAAGGAAATCCAAAAAAAAAAAAAAAAGACTTATACCATGGTCCAAAGAAGAAGAAGAAGAAGAAGAAGAAGAAGGAAAGGAAAAAGAGGGAGAAAGACACCGCCTTGTTTCCTCCATCAACGCCGACCGAGATCCCGGAACCTTGACCGCCTCCCACTCCGCCTACGGCCCCCTCTTCACCATCTTCTGTCAGAGTCTCCATCACGCCGCCAATCAGCCCGAGCCAACTCATCCGCCCATCAATAACGTCCCTCACCTGCTTTGCCACGCGATCAACCGCCTCCGCATCTGTGCCGCCTACATTCCACCCGCCGTGAACATCCCACGTCCGCGCACGCCGACTATCTCGAGGGTTGTACGCGAACTGACCGTTGCGTTCCGTCCAATGCTGACCCCCAGAGTTGGTTGACTTCAGCGGTCGTCCGCGGGAATCGAAGCGGTCCGGGAGATACTCTACGTCGTCCTCCGAGTCTGGCGCGGGCGAAGGTGACGAAGAACTGTCTCGTCCATGATCGCGAGGTCGCCTTTGGGGGCTAGGTGACCTGCTTCCCTGGCTCTTTCGATGCAACCGTAGGGTTTTGGACGATTGTGGCGAGAGAGGAATGAATGTAACCGACTTGGATCTGCCTTCATTGGCCGACGCGCCGGTGTTGGACTCTGGATCTTCATCCGACCCTGACGAGTAGAGGCCCACCTTGTGCCGAAGACGGCGTCTCCATTTTTCGGTTTTACACGGTCTGCGTAGTATGTTAGTTATTAGTCTTGCGTACCGGCGGTAGAGGCCTTGGTCCCCAAGCTTCGCTCGAAAGGCCCACGGACGACACCGCCGAAGTTGCCGGTTTCAAAAGACGCACCATCGTGGCCCTTGGTTGAGCGTGCATCTCGGGCGGGAGGGCGGCGGGATGTCCTACTCACATGGTCAGGCCCCATAGGGGAGGCCGGTTGGAGGGTCCGGGTGGGGGTGGCCCTGGCGGGAAAGGACCTGGCGAAGGAGTTGGCGGGTATCCAGAGATAGGACCTGGTGGCGGTGGTGGGGGATACATATCAGCCCCTGGCGGTGGAGGCGGGGATATGCATTCGACCCGGGTGGTGGAGGTGTGTATGGTACGTAAGCATCGTAGGCGGGTGCTCCGGGTCCGGCAGGGGGCCCGGGGGATAAGGAGATGGCGTGTCGGCAGAAGGTGGCGGGAAATAGGTTTGGGGCGGATATGATGAGTAGTCATCCGGATCCGCATTCGCACCAGACATTCGAGGACCCGAGTAGCCCCCGGATGCGTGGGGAGGGGATGGCGGGTACCCGTCGTCGTCATAACGGGCATCGTCCTCGTAGCCTTTGTCCCAAGTTAATACCCGAATCTGTTGCGATCGAGAAAGGGTGGGTGCCGCAGTAAACAGTCGCGAGGAAAGGAAAAGAAGAAAAAAGCTAGAAAAGAAAAAAGAAATAGACGTCCTGGCGGGAGCAGCAAAGCCCCCCGCGTTGATCGGCGGAAAATATCAAATAGACAAAGGAGTGGATAAACTTACGTCTTCTATCGCGGTCGCGGCGCCTTCTCTCCCTTCGCTCCTCGGCAGAAGCCGCTTCCCTATCACTCGCCACATCCCTTTCTCGTTCCTTGACTTCTTCCTGTTCTTGTATTCCTTCAATCCCATGGCGGCCGCACCAGTCCCCATTGCTGCCGCGGCCATGTCTCGCAATCGACTCCTGCTCCGGGTCGATCCCTTTCCATCTGCTCCTGAAACCGACGAGTCCCGAGAGGTCCTCGACCGGTTATGTCGTCGGCGACGTCGGCGGGCGTCGCGATCCAAATCGTCATCGGGGTATGGCGGCTCGGGGGAGGGGATCATGTCCGTACTCAACTAAGCCTAGCTCACGATCAGCGGGGCTTGGCTCGGGGTGGAGAGATCGGGTGGTCGACCTGCTGCGCGATCGAGATCGCGATCTATTCCGGGGCTCATAGTAGCTAGAGTCCCTAGATACGGAGCGAGACCGGGCTCGCTCCTCCTTCTTTCCTTGTGCTTCTTGTAAAGCTTTCCGGCGGCGCCACCGGCAACGGCGGCCGCTGCGATTTCAGCGCCAGTTCGTAGCCTCGACCGAGACCGAGATCGGCCCTTGACCGACTTCGACCTTGATCGGGACCTCGATTTCGACTTGTTACGGAAGTGCTTGACGATGCCTGCAGTGGCGGCAGTGGCTAGAGCAGCCTTGGCGATGGATTTACTACGGCTCCTCTTGCGGCTCGGGGACCGGGAGGAGTAGTAACCATCGCTCGGGTAGCCCCTGTTCCTGCTACGGCCACGTCGAGCTTCCTCCTTCTCTACCTTACTCGCCTTATAATACTGCGTTGCCCCGGCCACGGCGAGGGCAGCAGCAGCAATGCCAAGACCGGTCTTGATCTTGGAGTGGCGATCTCGAGAAGGTGAACGATGACGGTCGTATCGTTCGTCGATGGCGCTGCGAGCTCGCTTGAAAGCCTCAGTACCCAAGGCTCCAAGGGCAGCTCCAGCAATCACCTTGCGGCCACGGTTCTCCGGCAGCTCACCATGCTTGCTCCGGCGGGTCGCGAGCAGGGCCGTGACGCCAGCTCCGGCGATGGCGCCTTCGGCAAGGTGAAGCTTATGGTCGTCGCTGGAGCTGGAGGAGCTGCGGTCCCGGAGGGTAGTCCGACGGCGGCGATGATGGACGACGTAGCCATCATCATCGCCGTCGCTGGCATAATCTTTCCTACGGTCGCGACGCCCTACGGCATACTCGCTCTCGCGGCGGTAGGGGCCGAATTCCTTTGTTTCATGTCGGTAATAGTAATCTTCATCACGGCGGGGTTCTTTGCGTACTAGTTCACGGTGGGGGTCTTCCCGGAGGACAACAATGTTGGGATCCTGACGGGGCACAATGATGGGCGCGGGTGGCGCCTCCTGGACGATGATTTTCTGGTCGGGCGCACGTTGCCGACCAGTGAGGGGTTTGGTGAAGAAGAGGGGTCGTACGGACTGTAAAACTCGGTTTCCTTCCGATAACGTTCAATGTCTGGGCGGCCATCGCCATCAAGGTCATGGAATTCTTGGTAGCGCCTTTGGATCTTGACGTCGCCGTCCGAGGTGCGTTCGATGCGCTTCTCCATCCTCAAGTCGCTTTCTTCGGTCCCCGACGGTCCCAGTCCCTATCACGGTCACGTTCGCGCTCGCGCTCGCGCTCGTAGCCATAACCGCGCGAGCGGTCATCGTCTTCAAAATGGTCCCGGTCACGATCGCGATCTCTCTCACGGCGGCGCTCCCTCTTTACTTCTTTCTCATAGATCAAATCGTCATATGGTTCGACTTCTCTTTCGCGCTCGACAACTCGCTTTTCGACGAGTGATGTGGTGGAAATCGACCGTCGTCGAATTCGCCGTAGGTAGGAGAGGCTACCTTGTAGCGCCGTAATGTGGTACGCCTCCTCTCATCGTCAGAAGGAGAGTCTTCCCGTTCGCGATAGGTGCGGGTTTCCCTGTATATGTCGGGCATGTTTTTTGGTGGGGGAGGGGGTTCTCTAGTTTGTAATTTCCCTGTTTTGTTGTTGGCGTTGCCTCTCCTTGCCGGAGGGAACTGGGAATGTAGATGTGCGGGAGTAGGGTGATCCCAAGCCTGTAGATGTGAGTGGTGTGTGTCGGAGTGTAAGTGGGAACAAGTGTGTCGCAAATGGTCGCGATAATCCTCGAGGCCTTTTTCAGAGCTTGGCTATGCAAGTACTCGGCAGAGGATGCGGAATTATTTTGAGATCAATTTTGGTCAAAGAGGGGAAGGTGACCAAGGTGAGGTGGAGGATTGTGCCCGGATTATAAGTAGGCAGGGAAAAGTACCCAAGACGGCATGACGGGGATGGAGTTCAAAACTTGACCATACACGGGCCGTACACCTCCACGCTTGATGCAACACGCTAATCCAGGCTGCGCCCAGTCTTGCCAGTGTGGGTAGGTCGTCTGGCCAGGCGAAATCCCGGTCACGGTAGTGGGAAAACAGTCGAGGTGTGAGGTGAGGGAAGAGGGAGGGGGTAAAAAAGGATGACAGGGCTACCTGGAGCAAATCAAAGAGGCAGGGTGGGCGGTGCTATGGTTTGGGTCCGTAGATCCAGATATGTCGGGGAAGGGGTGAGACATGGAAGATTGAGCCAGCGAACGGGAGCGGCGGTTCGAACGGCGACGAAGGAAATAACGAGGGTGGGGTGTGGAACGGAGGAGAACGAAGATGCAGGCTGGGTGGACTGGATATGCAGGAAGGAGTCACTCGCTCCTGCTCCTGTACCGGCGACCCTCCCATCCCATCGCCTCTCATGACACTAGAGGGCGAACAAGCCGCGAACTGGAGACCCAAATGCCGGCAGACTCCGGGCTGTACTTCCATTTCGTCCTCGCGGCCTTGTCGTCTCTCAACAGTTTGGCCACAGTCTTACAAACTCGAAGACCATCTGACAAGGACAGGGTTCGAAGAGGCTCCATGCAAGACGGGGAGCCTCAAAGGGGAAGCCAGAAGTATTACTCGAAGCCCGCCTTTGTGCACCTCGAGCGAGCCATGGGTTATTGAAGGGCGAGTCTGGTTTTCTTTTCTTTTCTTTTTTTTTTTTTTTTTTTCATCTTTTCTGTTCCATATGCATGGTAGTCACAGGATGTCATTTTCTAGAACTCAATTCAAACCAGGGATGCTGCTCATCCTCCCTTGTCTTCGCCCAGATAACGCAGATCCACTAGCACGAGCCGACATCAACATTATTCTATGGACAACCATGGGCGATTTCTGTGAGAGGTAAACTTCAGACCATCCATAAATGCCAACAACTACCTCTCGGCCCCTACCGGCTCAACGAATTCAACGGGTTCGTTCATGGGATTTAAGCCAGTGGGCTGTGTTTTAAGCATCCCAAAGATGCTAGGACTGGACTGAAGGGCCGTTTGTGTGGCTTGTGGCGGGGTAAGATGACAAGAGCCTTGGAGTGACATGGTGCGGGGTTGGTCTTGACCCAGGTTGCCATCCAGAGCTGGATTTCAAACAACATAAGCCACATGCAACATAGGAGAGAAACTCCCTGAAAAGAAGAAATACTGGATGTACAGAAACTTGGGGATGGGGGTGCGGCTCGCTTAGCTGCCTGATATGGCTAGGAAGGCAGAAGTTCAAGATGGAATTTTCGTGTCCAATTTGATGTCAATTCACTTGAACATCAATGGGAAACAGCGAAGCTTGAACATTGAAGCCACCCAGCCTCCCTGTCAGGCCTGAGGGACCCGCACCCAGTGCTACGTAGATTTCGTCATCACCGGCTTTTCGTGCTGTCCGGCCCCATAACTTCGACTGCTCACGCACGTTGATGTAATAATGGAGGTCGAGCATCTGCTCAGTATCCTGGTTTTTCCCTTTTCTCCTTTACTTTTTGTCTTTTTTGTTTTTTTCTTCTCATTTTCCAATCTTTTTGCGAGCGATGCGCGCTTCGGTCATCTGGTTCCTAATTCCTAAGCGCTATTGATCCATTGTTGCCCGTGCTGTGGCCCCCACACTTTTCTTGTTTCCGCCGACACAAAACGCCAATGACGCAAGTCTAGCAATTATTCAAGGTATTTTTGTTAGTCTCGCCGCCGGCACTGACAGCGACAACGCGACGCCCCTGCCCCTTCCTACCTAGCGCCAGTTGATCCTCAAGAGTAGATATCCATGGATCTATGAGACGGAAAGTTTCCTTCTCTAGGCCAGGCACAAGTGCAAATGGCAAAATATGGATATTTACTAAAAGTCGGATGGTTTAGACCACCTGCCCGTCCAAAGGGATATCGTGTTCTGTCAGGTGCCAAGGAGCAACCCTCTCTTCCCAACAACCTTGACCTCCTGACCACGGGCAGGCCGCCTACAGAGCAGGTGACAGGTGGGAAGATGGAATGCCACATTTCTGCCCACGTCACCCCAGCCTTTTATTCTAGCCTGGAACATTGAAGTCTGCAAGAAACCTCTTCCTCATCGTTGCAATGTTCTAGAAGCTTCAGTCATCCTCTTTCCCTTGCACTTTCCCGCTCGGCCTGAGGCTCACTTTGAAGGCGGCCTCTATGCGCCTGCGGCCAATAGAGTGCATTTGAAATGGAACAAAGAATGCCTAGCTACACGACGTTGACGAGAAAGTGGGGATTGTCCTCTGAAATGCGGGATGTGCAGGGCTTGGGTTCGGCCTGGCCGGTCGGCGCGCATTGCAGTGCTGCTTCGCCGAGCAACGCAACTCAATCCCTTCAGCACCGCCTTGCAACTACTGCAGAGTGTATGCGCAAAATCTTGCATTCGGAAAAATCAAGCGCTCCTTTATCCACATGTCCCCCACCTGGCAGGAAGGAGAATGAGAGAATAGAGATATTGGGGAGAACGTTTTGGCAGAGAGATTAAAGCGAAGCAGAGGGCAAATGTGAGGCTTGTAATATTAGAAAGGAGGCCGCTCAACGTGCATGCAAACTGATCAATTGATTGTTGCGTGAGGGTTTCCGCAATTGATAGTTTAGGGAGCCGATGCCCGTTACGTCGACCTCTGGCATTATTATTCTTGTCCAGATCTGCCAGTCACAAGATGAGTAATTAGTTTGACTCTGGTTTACTGAGGTACATGGAGAGGAAATTTGTCCCCTGGCTCGCGGGCGGCTGTAATTCGGGTAATTAAGCTTCACCTATCACCTGCAAGAAAAGCTCCAGTGTAGTGGAATCGTCCATCAAAATTGTCGTGAAGTATAGCAGCGGGACGAGCTTGACACCCTGACCAGCCAAAACCCGGTAAAAAGATGCAAATGTAAGTCGCACGGTTCACCCTGATTCAATTGCCGTTCTGATGGTATGATAGAGCACCGTAGCTGCCAGCCCGACTCACCACCATGAGGGCGCATCTTGCCCGCCATGTCTGCCGGCGACACCTCGTCCAAGGCGCCCGCCACACCCTCCCGCGAGCTTGCCGACCGAGATCGAGCCATCATACATCACTCATACCCCTGACATCGACCCCCGACACTTTCGTCGAACCTTCTTTGGCATCTTCCAGGAGGCTCCGCGCCGCATCCGGACAAACGAATTCGAGCCCGGCTGGCCACTCGTCCTGTCTTGGCGCACGCGGGTGCTCGAGAACCTCCGACCGCCCGTGCGAGAAGAGCTTGTGGACGCCTTTCGCCAGCTTTTTCAGCACAAGCTCGAGTTTGGAGCTCCAGTCAATAGCACACAGGCTCTCCAATGCTACCGCCTCTTCACTTACCTCGTCGAGAACAAGGCCGACGAGGAAGGACCCGGCTGTCCATTGCCGAGCTGACTGCCGCTCGAGATGCCCTGCTTCTCGTCCCCAAGGATAACCTCAAGAACCATCTCGACTTCTCTCGCGCCCTATACCACGAGATTGTGCGCCAGCGCCAGCTCGAGAGCCAATTCGGCGTGCCGGAGGAGGAGCCGGAGGTTACGGATCCCTCGCGCGCACCCCCGCAGACGATGATTTTCGATCCTACATCGCGGCCTTGACGAGATACGGTGCGTCGACCGAAGCGGCTGCTGCGCTGCACAAGCATTGGGACAAGTTGGTGGCCCAGAGCAGGATACACAAGGGGGCAAAGCAGCTCTGGATAACGGTGCTCAAAGGCCTGGCAAGGGAGGGGAAGGAAGAAGAGCTACTGGAACTCGCGCGAGTTGCGGAGGAGCGGGGATACAATATCGCCCCCATTTCCAAGAGGTGATGACGACCTTCTTTGCCAACCAAGACCGGATCCAGGAGACTAGGTTTTGGTTCGAGAGGACACGGGGAACCGCTGGCCTACGACCCAGACGTACGCGGCAATCATCAAGTTTTCGAGGCGGACCGGGCTGCAGGATTGGGTCAATGAAGCATTCAAGGCCCTCATCGACCACAACCCGCGCAAAGCGCATTGGGATGTCATCTTCCAGTGGGCCGTGTTTTGTAGAGACGAAGGCGTGGAAGGCGTCAAGCACATGATTGACATCATGGTCAAAAACAACCCGGAAAACGAGTCGGCGCGGCCAGACATTGATACCATCAACGGATTAATCCGCACCGCCATGGAGAAGAACGATCCTTACCTCGCCGAGCGGTTTTTAGCCCTGGCATCCGAGCTGGGCATAAGCCCCAACTCTACGACTTACATTCTCCAGATGGATTATCGCATCGACGCCAAGGATCTCTCCGGCGCCAAAGCGGCATACCAGGACATCCTGCGAACCGAAATACAGGACGACGAGGATCTCGCGGTGATCAACAAGTATATACGGGCGCTGTGTGGGTTGGAGAGGCCGCTGCTCAAGAGCATTCACGAAACCATGGCCAACCTTGAGCACCGCCTCGTGACCTTGGACCCGGAGACCGTGGTTGCTCTGTGCATGGCCTTCCTCAAGAACGACGACCAGTACGACGTCATTGACACCTTGGCGGTCCACGTCTTCCACTACAGCAGTGAGCAGCGAGAGCAGATCCGAAGCGCATTTGTGGAGTTCATACTAGAGGAGAAGAATAGCACCTCGCGAGTCTGGGACGCCTACCAACTTCTCATGCAATTCTTCCCCGAGACAACGCGCGGGTGCCGCGTCAAAGTCATGGGCGCCTTTTTCGACCGCAAGCGGGCCGACATGGCCACCGGCGTATTTATGCACATGAAGGAACATGTCAACCGCGACTTCCGCCCCACGGTGGACGAGTATGTTGTGATGCTCGAGGGCTTAGGCCAAGTCCCAGACGAGGCCAGCCTCGAAAGCGTCCACAATATGCTCAAGATTGACACAAACGTCCAATCGTGTACCAAACTTTCCAATGCCCTCATGATCGCTCTCGGTGCCTGCGGAAGATCCCTCCGCGCTCTCGACATCTGGCACGACATCTCTCGCTCAGCCGAGGGCCCTTCCTACGCCAGCTTGGAAATCATCTTTGCCGTTTTGGAGAAGAAGCCGTTTGGCGACGAGGATGCCAAAGCGATATGGAGGAGCATGGAGAGGATGGAGCTCGAGATCCCTCCTTCCGTCTTTGCAGCTTACTGCGGAAGCCTGGCCGGGAATGCCCGGCTGGACGAGGTCAAGAGCCTAATCAAGGGAATGTCGAGGACGGTCGGATATGACCCCGACTCCATGATGTGAGTTTGTGTCTCTTACTACCCTCCCTCTAACCCACGCATTCCAAAATTACACATTGGATGGGTAAAATCACTGTACTAACCACCTGCCGCCATCTAGCCTCGGAGTCGCACACAACGCGCTTCGTTCTCCTAAACTGCAAGCTGACTTTCAGGCATGGGCCCTGAGTCAATACCCAGACCTCTGGGCCGAGCTCGAGAGGCTTGGCCGGAGACGGACGGAAGGGTATCTCTCCGTATTCAAAATTTCGCGCAATCTCAAAGCGTGATTTCATCTATCTCTCTTGTTAAGAATATGTGGGCCGGGGGAAGACATCCGCAGATGTAGCTGGAGAAGGCAAACAAAATCTGTACTATAACGATCAAATAGACGGCGCAAGAGATTCTGTACATGTATTGTTGGTGATACACAGAGATGAGGTAATAGTCTACAAAGAGGGGAGGTAATCCTTTACCTCCCGACGCGCGAAATCAAAAGAATATCGCCATCTCTAAAAGGAGGCACTCTAAAACGGACAAAGACACATCTAATTCTCTTCCATCACGGTCGTGACCTCTTTGACTGCCATTCCATCTGCAAAAGCTCGGGGTGTCGGTGAACGCTGGGATGAAGACCCATACCCATAGCCCTTCGGATCGCCTTGGCAACCTTGCGTTGGTTAGCAGGCCGGAGCCCAGTCTGTTCCGAGTGCTGGATTTGGCCCATGCTCGTGGTAAAATCGGAGATGAGAGTAAAGTTCTAAGCAAAGAAATAGTATGGGATTAGCGCTGGGCCCTCAAGCAGCAAAAGGTCAGGTAGGTGAGGGATGGGGGAAGGGGTGGGATGAGTCTCGGATACGGGGACAGACGCACCCTGTAGTGATCTAGGGATTCACGCCGAGGACATCGAACACGTCAGCCGTCTTGGCCGCCTTCCTCCTCCACTTCTTCATCTCGTTGCCGGTCAGGTCATGGGGGTGAAGACGTCGCCCTCGCGCCAGTATCGCGACATCTGAGCCAGGTACTCGTCGCTCACGCGCTGAGCCTCGACACGCTTCTGGATATCGGCGCGGTGGCTCTTGATGCGGGAGTAGCGCTCATCCGTACGGGCAATGAGGCGCTGGATCTCGTCGGTGGAGCTGCGCAGGCGGGACTCGGAGGCCGCGCCAGAGCCGGCGTTGGCGCCGCCACGCTTGGGAGCTTCGTCTAGGGAGAGGAGGTTGGAGGCGGTACTCGGGCGGGAGGCACGAGCTGTCATTAGTAACATGAGAACGATTAGCTTCTAATTTCGTTCTTCTCGGGGGCCGGACGGGAGTGCAGGCGAAAGGAGCAGTCCATTTGTACATTCGGGGGCAAAGGGTGGTGGACCTACGATTCTTGGGTTGTGATGTTGTGGTGATGGCGCGCATCAAGGGCAGCGCAGGCTTGAAAGCCGCCGTGGCTGGTATCCTGGGAGGCATTGTTAGGCGACGAGCTGGGGTGTCGAGGCTGTCACTCGTCTGCAATTGCGAATTGAACCTGAAGCTATTCCAAAGCTTGAGGATGATTGAGCGTCGTCGAGAAATTTGAAAGCGGCCATGCCATTCTGGGAAGCGGAACTTGCCGCGTCGGATGCTCGCGGCAACCGCCAAACAAAGACGTGGCAGCTGGCAGAGAGCTGTCAGTTCGCTCTCTCTTTTTTTCTTCTGCCCCTCCAAAATATTTCCTTCGACCGTTTCTGACGATTCCTTCTCTTCAATCTAAACCCGGAAGAGAACCTTACGGACCGACCCTTACAACGCAGCAACCATGGTGCGGAAACTTAAATATCACGAGCAGAAACTGCTAAAAAGGTCGACTTTGTCACCTATAAGAAGAATGAGCACCGGGACAACGAGGTCATTCGGCGGTACATGATCCAGAAACCGGAGGATTATCACAAGTATAACAGGCTATGCGGCGTATGTTGAAGCTCTTTCACCGGACCTAGGTTCCCTCCTCTGGCTGCGACGACGGATAAAAGGTGTATTAACTTGCCTGTCTCTGTAGTCGATCCGCCAGCTCGCCCACCGTCTCTCGCTGCTCCCCCGATAGCGCCGTCCGCCGCAAACACGAGGACCTCCTACTAGACAAGCTCTACGACATGGGAGTCTTGTCCACCAAGAGCAAACTCTCCGCCGTCGAGAACGCCGTCACAGTTTCCGCGTTTGCCCGTAGGCGTCTCCCCGTGGTGATGACTAGGCTACGGATGGCGGAGACGGTACAAGCGGCGACAAAACTCATCGAGCAAGGCCACGTCCGCGTAGGTACGGATACCATCACCGACCCAGCGTACCTAGTCACCAGAGGCATGGAAGACTTTGTGACTTGGACCGTCGGCAGCAAGATCAAGAAGACAATCATGAAGTACAGGGACGAGCTCGACGATTTTGAGCTGTTGTAAAACGCTGGTGGAGAGGGGCCCGAGTTTGATTGTGACTTGGTGCAATATTAGTCAAGCAGCGATCGCGCTGCAAGGAGGATAAACAGCCTCCGCATACTGCTCTTTTTGTCCTAGAAGACTGCACAGCAATCCGCGAACTAGGATCTTTGAGGACGGAGGAGCAGCCATTACCGGATAGTTCCAGGGATGAGCAGGGACAAGGCCGGTTTGTTATGATACCCTAACTGTACACCCATAGATGTAATGCGGAAATTGAAGTTGAACATTATATGGAAACAAACAATCTCTATTCCCCACCTCTTTGCCGCAAGTGAACCCCGTTAGCCTCCGGCCGGCAGTATGTGATGAACACACGAAGAGAGGCATTCTCCTTCTACTCCATATTTCTGCACAAGTGGTAACGGTTGAAAAGATCTGAGTGAGCCATCTCCTCAATCATCCTCCTTTGCCTTTTCAGTCTGGGCGGTGTGTACATGTTGTCTTGAGTCAGACCTGCCAACATCGCCGATGTCGGGTTTAAGGCACGCACCCGCGGACTTTGCACCCAAAAATTTCCCAGGGTCCCCCACATACATCCTCAAGGAACAGCACCAGCATCCACCGGCATCCCGGCAATCACTTCCCAACATCATCTCACCCTCACGATTTTTCTCCCTCGCAAGACCGTTGCGGATTGACTCTCTAACGTCCCTCGGCCGGGGCTTTCACTTGGAGGAAAATACGCGCCCAGCGTTGGCGACCGGTCGCATCCCTTGACTTTTTTCTTCTTTTTTTGGTCCACCTCATCAAGAGACGCGACTACCGAAGGTTCCCGAGAGGTCGGCCCACCGTGATTTAGCACCGACTCAAAGAACAAAGAAAAAAAGGGCAAGGAGAAGGAAGAGTGCCAATACACCGCCTTCCCAACCCCCAATTCCCTCTACACAATATGGCTTCCGATGTCATAAAACCCCCGTTGCGGCGCCCCTTCCCCCGCTCCCACGGAAAAGAAGCCGAGCGGCGGCAATCACTACAAGGGCTTCGTCGCCGGCGTCTTCTCCGGCATCGCCAAGCTAGCCGTCGGCCACCCCTTCGACACCGTCAAGGTGCGCCTGCAGACCACCAACTCGGCTCGCTTCAGCGGACCCTTGCAATGCGTCCTCCAGACCGTCCGCAACGAGGGCTTTTCGCCCTCTACAAGGGCGCCACCCCGCCGCTCGTCGGTTGGATGTTTATGGATTCGGTCATGCTGGGCTCCTTGACCGTCTACCGCCGCCTCCTGTCCGACACCCTCTTCCAGAACTACCGCCCGCTTGACGCCGGCTCCAAGTCCCGAGCTGGCCAGCAGTCCGCCAACGCGTCCGTCAGTCTGCCGTCCTACGGTCACGGCCTCGCCGGTATCATGGCCGGTTGCACCGTGAGCTTCATTGCCGCCCCCGTCGAGCACATCAAAGCCCGTCTGCAGGTGCAGTACGCCGCCTCCAAGTCGGACCGCCTCTTCAAGGGACCTCTCGACTGTCTGTCCAAGATTTATGGCGCGCATGGCATCCGGGGTATCTACCGGGGCCTCGGGGCCACTCTCTTGTTCCGCGGCTTCTTCTTCTGCTGGTGGGGCAGCTACGACATCTTTACGCGCCTGTTCCAGAAACACACGGACCTGAGCGCGCCCGCCATCAACTTTTGGGCTGGCGGGCTCAGCGCCCAAGTCTTTTGGATTACAAGCTACCCATCTGACGTCGTGAAGCAGCGTATCATGACCGACCCACTTGGTGGTGCGCTGAATGACGGGACAAGACAGTTCCCGAGGTGGGCTGATGCCGCAAAGGCCGTGTATAGAGAGAGTGGTGCAATGGGATATTGGAGGGGTTTCTTGCCTTGCTTCCTGAGGGCGTTTCCGGCAAATGCCATGGCCTTGGTCGCGTTTGAGGGTGTGATGAGGCTACTCCCAAACTAACCACCATGATTGGTCAAATCCGTGGGCTGTTTCAAGGGATTTCTGGATAGCTAGGCCATAGATATGAGACCCCTAACCGATAGAGGCCCCTTTCGAAGATGTATATCCTGAGATATATTTGGCAGGCAAGGGTCGCAAAGGCACGTCACGAGAAAGTAGGCAAAAGGATTCCATTTGGTGGCCTGGAAAATGCAGTGGTATCATTAGACTTTTGTGGCGCCAATGGGCAGCCTGCTATCCCCGTCTATAGAGTCCACCCCAATTCCAACACCCAGTGCGTTCGAACAAAACGCTTACTCATCGTCCTCCTCCTCAGCATCGTTAACGATGTTGAAGAACTTGAGCTCGTACACACCCTTGGAGGTGGAGACGACACGGAGCCAGTCACGGAGCTGGTTCTTCTTGAGGAACTTCTTGGTGCTATACGGCATCCATCCCACATTAGTTTCTATCCTATTGATAACGTTCCGCCCAAGCCCCTTGGGTGGTGATGTCCAGAGGAGAATCAAACAACGTACAGGTACTTGAGGTAGCGGCCAGAGAGCTCGTTGTGAGCGATGATCTCGACCTTGCCGTCACCCTGCTGGCGGACGACGATGGTGTCACCGAGGTTGCCAACACGGCCCTCAACCTTAATCTTCTCCTGAAGGAACTTGGTGAAGGCGCTGACGTCGAAAATCTTGTCGCTCGCGGGCTGAGAAGCGTTGATGACGAACTGCAGGTACACAAAGCCAAGTTAGCATGCCTCCCTCCCCCTTGCTTTTACCCTGTCGAGAGTTTTGGTTGTCCGGCGCGCCGGTTTCTCTGATGGGCTCGATGTGGATTCGGGAAGCTACTCACCTTCTTCGTCTGCTTCTGGCTCTTGCCAGCCTTCTTCTGTAAATGTGGAAAAACCTAACCTTAGCCTACTGTTTCACGGCATAGTCGCCAACAAAAACCCAATCTTGTCCCGGCCGAACCCTTCCCATAGTGCGTCGACTATGAAAAGGGAAGCCTTTCACTCCGCGACGGAGGGCCGAGACAAGAAGGGTGCTCTGGGCGGCGACATGGCCCAACAGCAAAGCAATCTGGTTTCATATACGTACAGTTTGAGGGGCCATTGCGAATGGAGGAGATGAAAAGTTGGATGACTAGAGGTTGTCAAGAAAGTGCTTGAGGGACGCAAAGAGGTAGGATCCTGCGCCTTGAAATGGAATGTTGGTAGAGGGGTTTTGTAGTTGGAACCGGACAATCTGGAAAGGAAAAAGACCAAAAAAAATCGAAAATCGGGGGAAAAACGCCCCGCCAAAAAAGTATTAGCAACGCAATTTCTTGTGGTTTGCTGACAAGCGGGAAAAAGATTAGGGCAACCCTGATGTGGGGCAGGTTCCTCGCTGATCCGTGCACAAGTCCATAGCTTCGATGCTTAGTCATTCAGACGACGTCGTGAACAATGGTGAGATATGATGGCTGGCCAGATACTACAAAGAAGCGTGATTACAAGTTGGCCAAAATGGTTTGAATCGAAAATAGCATTCTGATAATATCCGATGAAAACATGTTGTCTTTAACCTCTACAAAATGAGAGTATCTAACTGACGGTCTTCTGCCCCGTGTTTCTTTGAATGCCTACTCCCTCTCAATTGCATAGTGTTTGCATCTTGGTGACCTCTTTTGAAGGCAGTCGAGTGTTCGGTGTATTGTAGAAATGATGAAACCGTCTTAACTCCAATGAAATCCTGCTTCGAAGGTTACTCTCTTGTATCCTAAGAGGAATCAAACTTCCGCCCCATCTCCTATGACCAACCTAAAGGAAAAATGAAAATGAACCAAAGGGGAAAATGAAAGGGCCAAAAGAGAATCCTGCCAGATGCATATAGGTAAGTAGACAGGTAGATATATGTATATATGTACACGTTGCGTGCTCAGTAAAACAAAAAGAGGGCACACTAGGCCACAAGATAAGTAAAAAGACTCTGCCTCCAATTCAACATAAGCCGACTGATTGCGATAGTTGCGGAGATGGTATGTCTTCCTCATCGTGAACGCCCGCCAGAAAGAAGAACGGGGAAGGAAAAAAGAGAGAAAAAGAAAAAGAAAAAGATTCGGAGGGTATAATGAGAGACGCCCACCCATGGATCAAAAATGATTTCAGGCTTCCCGAGGGAGAAGAGGCCCCGAGAACATTATGCAAATGGCAGCCAGGCAGATACCGCCCCTACCTTCGCACCAACGGCTACTCAATCGACATGCCGAAGTCCGGTCGGTGAAGTAGAAACCGAGGAAGGAGGGGCAGGCACTGATGTAGTTGCCTAGTGTGATATTTATACAAGAACAAGAACATGGATGGGGATGTGCGTTATGACGCCAGCGGTGAAGGTGAACGCTGTGTCCAATTTACTCGTCTCATGTCCAGACCGATGTGACGAGAGTTCCGTTTTCCTCCCTAATCACATCATGGTGGTTGGGTGGGGGAGGTGCCATCATTCCCGCGTTCATTGGCGTCGTCATGTGAACGGGATGCACCACCTGGGACTGGACAGGGGCGAGGTGCGGTTCCGGAACCGCCATCATCTCTGATGGTAGATTGGCCGAGTTTAACATACTCTCTGGGGTGCGTACAGGAACCATGCCCGAGTCAGGATCCTGGCCGGCGAGTAAAGCGATGGGGGTCTGTATACTGGCGCTGCTTGAGAAGCTCAAATTCGGGTGGCCTGGTGCCTCGAAAAGTTCACGGTAAAGGCCTTCGAGCAGTCGTTGATCGAAAGTCAAGGCACTAGTGTGCCCCGCAACTTTCCAAAGAACCCTATTGTCTTGTGGTACAAGTCTCGCAGTTTCGGCGCGTCAATGTGTTGACGGAGGAACGGGTCGCAATAGCATGCTGCGAGAACGACGAGATTACCCCATTGGCTACAATCGGAATGTTAGTCAATACTGGCCTGTTCGGGAATGCGTGGGGTGATGGATCCTTACGCATGTGCCGTGCCAAATACATTTGTGATGATGGGCCGTTTATCCCCAAGGCCATGGAAAGCCTGAGTACTCTCGATAAGCGACCTGATGCCCTTCTGGGCATGATCCCAAGTTTCTTGTGGAAGCACGTGAAGCTCATCGCGGATCTCCTGTGGAAGATCGGAGTACGGAACGTGGAGAAGCGAGGGATTCGCCTTTGATCGCAGTCGGTATGATAGGTCTAGGATCTGCTTGATGCAAGGTCTGTAAGTAATCACCTGCGAACCCCAGTATTTAGCTCGCAGACGCGCTGAGAGTATGTCGCTTGCAGGTGGGTCATCCTCGTCAAATCGGTACATCGGTCCAACCCAGGACATGTCTGCTACTCGAGCTTGAGCTTCGTTCACCTGCGCTAAATCTATCGATGCTGCCGCGCCTCCGAGCCGTACAGCATTCGATGGATTTGATTGAGATGCTTTCGAAGATACAGTTGCGCCATGTAGCTCGTCAGCACACTATCTTGCAGCACCTCGGCTTGGGGGTCTTGCTGCTGCCAGAAGTAAGGATTAGGGTAGGGCAAGTGGTCCTCCTGCGCGAGAATCCCAGATTGATGACGAGGGATCTCAGCGACGATGTCACTAAATCCACACACTCGTTAGCCCTCAAAAGTAACAACCGGGGGTTTAGTCTCGCTAACTCGGCGAGCAGGATGGTGCGTACCTCTCAAGCTGGAGGCATGTCCAGAAGGCGAAGATAAGCTGGTTATCACGGTTGCTTCGAATCAGGGATCGCGTCTCCTTCAGCATCGACAGCCGTTTCAAACTCCTGCATTGCGCTATAGGTTAGTCGCCTACTCTCATACTACCGAATGTCTCCGGCGCCAGCAATGGCTTGAAACTCACGGTCGCAAAATATTCATCAGCACATTACAAGCATGGGCAATGTAAGCGTGACTCTCCACAACTCGCCCAAGCTGGCCGTGGAAGAGGCCAGCAAAGATACCCGCGTAGACGTGGTTCATTGTGTTGCCACCTAGTTGGTTACCAATGATGTCTGTCGCGATAGCGAAGTACTCGAGGCCCGGTATCGTGTCGTAATTGCGCCGAGGCTGGTAGCCACCTTTTGAACCCTGGAATGAATGTCGTCGGCCTGGATTAGGCCGCTCGCTGTCCTTGGGCGAGGCCATGCCCGATGAGTAATTCGGTGTAAAAGCTTCGGGAGACGAGGCATGGCCCGGCGAGCTTGGGTAGCCATTCCTCTTGCTATAGGTCGATCTCGAGGGGCCGTCGTCGCGCACGACGTCAGGGACATTTTCTCGCTGAAGGCATATCTTTCCAAGGGCTAGAACCGTCAAGACAACCGCGTTGTTGATGGTTCGTGCGGGTCGCCCGGCCTTGAACTGAATCTGGGGAGTGTCCGGCGCATCCATAGCTGGTGATCTCTTGCGCTTCATCCCTACGGGTTCGGCAGTAGGTGGGGGTGGGGGCTGAACGAACTTGGCAACCTGGGCCGGGGCCAGAGGCTTAGCAGGTTTGGGAATGCTGTTGAGGAAGATTTGCACCATCCCGCGCAAGTCCTTTGGGAGAATGATGGGGTGCATGTTTAAAATGTTCTCCTCAAAGCTCTTGACGTACCCCCACACCTTTGGTTCCGAGAAGTCGGGGACGCCGCTGGGGGTCAAGACAGGGGTACGGGGGCTCGAGCTGTTGTATTCTGAGATGTTCACCGGGCTAAATCCCCCAATATGGCCTGAAGCATCACCAGGAGCTGGTGAGCTCATATCGGAATGTGCGATATCGTCCGGGAAATCGGTCGTTCCGTGTTCTGCGCGGACGTCTCGATCACGGGGAATGGGGTCTCGACCTTCTCCTCGGCCATAAACCCTAAGAATTCCCCGCTGTTCTTCCTCCCGGATGGGGAACTCTGCTGGGAAACGAAGGTTTTCCCTCTCCAGTACCCTCTGGACCATCCCGTTGATACACGGCCAGTTCAGGAGGTGGCCGGCGCCGGTGGTGTGGTTCGTCGGAATAGAAAGTTCGCCGGGCGGCAGAACGGGCCCTGGGACAGCCTCCATTTCCTCATCGGGCATGTTATAGCCGGGGTTAGTAGAAGTGTACCCCATCCCTGTCTTCATCACATCATCGTCGACCGAGGACTCGTCTCCGCTTCCCGTCGGCTTCATGTCGTCGCCCCCGGTTTCTGAGATTTCCATCTCGGCCTTGCTGCCTTCTCCTGGGTCGTGTTCCGTTTTGAATTCCAGATTAGGGTATATGTGGGTGAGCACTTTCTCCATCCTACTCACTCTCAAGTCCATGTTGCTGTGCTGCCTCACCAGCGTCTCCAGAGTCCTCTGGATCGCAGCAACCCCGTCCAGGATGTCCGCCTGCGCCTTGTCGGTGCTAGTCACACTATTTTAGTTTGTTTACGCCCTCCAATACCTGCAAAAGCGGGAAGGGCCTCACTTACGCTTTAGGTGCGGGCTCCCTATACTTGCACTCAACATTCTTCTCTCGGCAGTTTTTGCATGGTTTGGTTTCGTCGCATTTCGCCTTCAGCGCACGACAGCTATCACAAGCCTACCCGATGCGCCAAGAGACATGGGCTGTTAGAATCCAATACTCAAAGACACACATACATCTTACACCCGGTCCGGTCTTTGACAGAGGCGCGGGCACCATTCAACTCACCTGAGACGCCCTGGTGGCTTTCCTTTTGGCAGTGGGCATGTACGATGCGTTAAAATAAGGTTCGTTCGGATACATGTTCTCGTAGGCTGGCTGGTGGGGCATGGGAGCTGGTTGGGGCGGCGGTGGGGGCATAAGCTGGCCCAGGACGCCCATAGGCACCTGGCGTCCCAGGCATAGGAGGGCCGGCGTCGTAGCTCATGTGTCTCGCGCGCGGGTCGTCGCCGTAGGGGGAGGAGGACCGCCAGGCGTATTCACCTGGGGAGGGGGTGGGTGAGGTCCAGAATTCATTGGCGGCGGCGCGACAGCAAGAGCATTCCCGTGGTGAGGTTCCGGAATGTTGCCCGTGGACTGCGGTCGCCTTGGTGGGATCTGTTCATCAGCAGGGTCCTTCTTTATGATCACAGGGTCGCGGCCAGGATACGGGGTTGCGAAGGCGTTTGGAGGGGGACCATGGGGCGGATGTCCTTGTGGCGGAGGTGCAACTTGAGCTGGAGAGGGCGGAGGTTGTCGGTAATCTTGCATGGACGAGTATGGCTCTTGCTCATGGTGACGACGGTCGTCAGGGTGGGGAGGGTGGTGACCAGGCCGATGTTGGTGTAAAGGTGAGGTTTGGGGAGGTGGAGGTGGAGGGGATGAGGATCAGGGTTGCGAGGAGGGTAAAGGGGTTGATATTGTCCTGGAGTGGGATGTTGACCAGCAGAGGCTAATGGGGAGTGGACGGGATGGGGCAGAGACACAGGGCCATGTGGCGCGCCGGGGCCCCAGCTGTTGCTCATCGAAAGACGGGGGCGCTTGTTGCTGGTGTCAAGCTGTCCCTGATCCATTTTGGGAAAACCTGTGTACGGAAGCCCAAGTACTCCGTACACTCAAACAAGAGGAAAGTCAATGTGTATATCTGGTTTCGCCGGCACCGAGATATACGAAGGACAGGAATCGGATGGAAGCGAGGGCGGCCTCAAGAAAGATTTAGGTGGGACCGGTCAAGCAGCAATGACCATCGTGAAGGAGGCCTGTCGGGATGGGAAGGGAAGGGGGTGTATGGGTGTATGGGTACTGGTGGGAGTGAAGGGGGTGAACAAAGGAAGCAAAAAAAAAGAGAGGTGACCCGACGGGGCCGCGGGGGCGGGTGAGGATGAGAAAGCCCCCTGGGAGAGACGGCAAAGTCGATTCGAGAAAATGTTTTTGGCAATTGGAGGTCTATGTAACCATGTACCAGTTGTCTTGCCAGGGAGTCGGGAAGGGAAGAAAAGAGAGTGAGGAGAGAGAGAAGCACGATTGGCTGACGCCAGCCCAAGCCAAAGTCTGGATGTGAGGGTGAGCCGGAGAGGACCAAAAAAGTGCCGATGATAGCGAAGTAGGTGGACAGCTGCTGCCGACGTGCGGGCTGTCGTTGTGTTTTCTCACTGGATTTGGCGCGCAGACACGATGACAAAAAGAGAGAGAGCGCGGCCAGTGGAGGATAGAGTTGGAACCGGAAGGTGAGCTCTTGCAGCAGGCGAGAGGAGGGCAGGCTGAGAGGCGATGAGTGCGCGCGCGCGCGTTTCCCACGAGATCAGAGTTGGGTTCGCCCGTTGGGAGGCTGGAAAAGCGAGCCAGATGAAAAGTGAGGCAGCGACAATGAATCTAGCTGCCCCTACCTCTTACGAAGCACAATCAAGTCTCGCTGTCCACGGCAAAGCTTGGAGATACGAAGCTCGGGACTAGACGCGATACTACGAATGCGACGAGCAGCACGCAGGGAATGAATGAGCAATTCTGTCGTGGCCTGGCTGGGAAGCCAGCAATGCTTGCGAGGGATGGCGAAGAGGAGGTTTCAGATGCCGCAGGCGGAGGCTAGAGCAGGATGAAACCGTCGATGATTGTTCAAGCAGCCTGGGGCGAAGGGGAATGCTTCGGCTGGGTGTTTGTCTGTCGTTGAGCCGATCACGTTCGAAAGAAAGTGAAAAGGTCTGGGGAGGTTGAAATTCTGAATGGGGCGGCGGGAGAGGTGGTGATACTGGCTGGGGCCAGGGCCAGGTCCGAGTTGGGTCGACAGAGTGGCACCGGCACCTTGTCGCTAATGAGAATGGAGGTACCCCTGTACTCCCCAGAGCTGGGTGGGCATCGCGTTTGGTTGCTGGGTCCTATCTCGATTGCTTGGGGCGGGTACAGGTACTCGAGCAAGTGACCAGGCGCAAGACCCGTCATGGGGGTAAGAAGGGGCAGGGGGAGGGGAGGGGGAGAGTGGTGGAAGGTGGAAGGTGGGTACCGCTTGGTCAGTCAGAGCGAGGGAAAAGAAGAAAAAGAAAACGGAAAAAAAAAAAAAACCGAAGTGGAGAGAACCAGGTAACACGTCGCCGCGTGTAGTGTATGGCAGTTTTGAAAGTGGAGTACCCAGGTACCTCCCCAACTACCCTGGGGAGACGAGGAGGGAAAACCAGAAAAAAAGAAAAAAAGGAAAGAAGAAATATCGCCCTGGAGTGTACCTCCGGTACGTACCTATAATATCTCAAGCACATACCCTCGAGGCTGGGCGGTGGAGGTGGAGAAAACTGGCCCAGAACATGCATGGGGACCTTGTGGAGCGCAGTCATCACCTCAAGCTTGGATGAGAATGAGCTCTCCTGCTGTGATAAGTGGAAGGAACGTCGCTCGACAATCAACAATAGTATTTTGGAATCGGCTCGAGAGAGGAAACCCCAACTGCAGTCCTCGGTGCACGACGAGGCCCCGTCTCGGGTGGAAACGCTAGTGGTGTCTCCCCCAAAGAAAGAAGAAAAATGGCTATTTTAACGAGGTCCCTGAATAACACAAATTGATAGATCCATTGCAAAAATGGGACATGAATCTCTCTCACCCCCTGGAGCGAACTCCACTCCACTAGATCAATCCGATCATCTAGTAGTAGTCTACACAGGCAGATGGACCTCCAAAAAATCACAGCGCCAATGCGATCCAAAAAGCCTGGGGAGTCTCACAACCCTGGGCCAGGGGTTTGGCCCAATGCCTGGGTTGGGGTTTTTCGTTCTTTTTTTCTTTTTCGTTCCCACTCTCCCCAGTCATGCTTCCCACACCAAGATATTTGCTACCTCCACTGATACTAAGCGAAGAGGAGAGAGTGCATGGATCCGGCTCTTTGATGCATCGAGGAACTATTAGATAATGTGTCGCCGTCAACGCGTGTTGTTTTCTCACTTGGATGCTTCGTAAATCAGGTAGCCGCCTCGGAACGATTGCCGCATGTCAGCAACAGTGGAAAGCATTAACATCAACTTGGAAGGAACATACACTAGGTCGCTCAAACGGGATGGTGCGAATTTTGGTTTGTGATTGTTCCTCGGAGATCACACAACTAGCTAGCCAATCCCAGGTTGCTGGGATCGCCTTTTCGGTCTGTGGCGTTCGAAGACTTTTCGAATTTGGGAACATTCGTCCGCTGAACCTGGCGCGAAACCTCATTGTGGGGCTTTCTTTGCCATTGAGGCCTGCTGATCACAAGGGTGTCCACCTGCCTTCGAGGAATAGCAACAGCCGCAGCAGAACGGCACAGCGACCCAAACTCCAAATCAACCATGGATCAAATATTCTCCATTTGTTACATGTACGGGTTGCCCTCCCCTCGTCCTCTGTTTGGATCCTCACCCCAATTCTCCAACTCGCTAATGTTCCCCAGTCTCCCTTTGAACCCCGTGCTCAAGTGCTCAATCTTCCGTCAGCTTATCCAGAGCATCAAGGGTTCTCCACCCAAATCCATCGTTTGGTACTGTGCTGTAATATCGCCCTCCTCACGTAGTGTATTGCTTCTTCGTCCATTTATTGTAGGCGCAGCTGGCACGTTCAATCTCACCGAGAGTTTCTAACGCCACAGATTCGTCGTGGTGGACCGACAACTCAAAAGGCAACACCAATACGGATGTGTGGATGACTCCATTGTCTTTCTCACGCCCATCCGCTCCACTGACCCAGTACCCTGTTAAATGTGATTCAGCCACTTCTTCCCGGTGCCTACCGATGTACTCTTTCTACAAATAGAGATCGGGGGTATCCTCTTATCTGATGCTCGGTGTGTTTGAGTCGTTGCAGTGGCCACGCCGTTGACATCTCGAAATGGCATGTCATTCAAGTTTGCTTGTGTGATCGAATTTGTGTTTGTTCAAAATTTTAAGATTGGACCTTCGATGCCAATGGAACAAAAATGAGGGGCGGTGCTAACGTTTGAGAAAGGGTACGCAGCCAATGTCATTTCTGAGTTGTCACTTCACCCTCTCTCTTCTCTCTCTCATCGAATGGAGCCCACTCTCACGCCGTACCTACTTAGACAATAAATGATCAAATGCATCAGTGGGCGGATGGATTTCTGAATGTCTAGCCAAAGCTCACCTCCTGTTCACGGACAAGAATCTCTAGTATAGTGGACTAGCTAGCACTTGACGCTTCCAAGGGAGTTGAAAGCACCCCTCCACCGGCCGTCAGCAAATGAGAGCCCAGGACACGGCTAGCCTTGTTGTCTCTATCAATTGATGGCGGTTGCTCCTTTCCAGGAGATAGTCGCAAAAGCTGCGCACTCAGGCAAGTTCTTTCTTCAGCGAAGCAGTCCGACTCATAGCATCATCTCCTCACGCACTCTTCATCTACTTCTTAAAATACCATGCGAAAGTCATCGTCATGTCTAATACGGTGATTATCTTAATCCTGTGCCTCTTTTTTTCTTCCCCTCCAGGTTGACAGATTATGATCGCGATTTACGAGAGCTTTTGCTAGTGCCGACGTTTGTCATGCCCTCTTGCGACGTCATGCACATAGCATCGAGGCCATGGGACACAATCAGCCACACAGCCATTGTGGTACTGACACAGATGGTCAGAAATGTACACTACACACATGGGAGGCCAGCCCGACTCGTGGCCCCCGCCGATCACAAGAGTTGGATCGTTACCGCTTTTTCCCCTTTGTCAGGAAGAACATTGAACAAGCGGAGTCATGCTGATCGACTCCACCACTGCAGGAGCCTGAACTTTGCACAATGGCAGGTGAGCTAGTGAGAGGCATGTACCTAAGGCCTGCGGGATTGGCTCAGTCGACCCAGCCACAGACCTAGAGAGCTTCCACAGACGGCATCTAACCCCAATCTAGATCCGAGTGCGTTAGAGGAGGGCTGGACAAAGCTGAAAGCACTGGAAACACCTGCATCAACATATCCACCTCAGAGGTTTGGCGAACAAGACGAGGAGGAAGGAGAAAAAGAGGTGGGGCGGGGTGAATAATGTTAAACCGTCCGCCCCGAAAAAGAAACGAGAAAAGAAGCAGAAAGCGGGTACATCATGAAACTGAGAAAGCATTGGAGCGAAGAAGAGGTGGGAAGAGGTCCCAGACTTAAGGTCCTGTGCTGGAACGCTAAAACACTTCGTTTCACTGAGCTGAAAGCAGGCCGGCCTCGTCCATTTGATTCAATGTTCCCTTCAAAGTGAAGAAACTCAGTCATTGACCCAACATAGCAATATGGACCTTCCAAAGCCGCCCAGATTAAACCGGTTCTAACTTGAAGCACAACTTTGAAGCTTGGCGCCCGACTTTCCCCATCCCCCCTCGTTATGGGGGAGATGTTCAAAGTACCAGTACTGAGACAATAGCGCGTTGGACAGCCCTGAGCTCCTAAGCTCCTTCTAAGAAGGCCCCGGGCCCTACCGAGGTACACCCAGCACCAACTTTGACCCAGCACAGTGGAGCCGATGGAATTGAGGTTCAATCCAAAGGACTCGACATCACGGCGAGCAAACACATCGCCAGAAAAGCGAATGCGATGAGAGGAGGAGGACAAAAGTGTTTGTCACTGAGCGATCCTTGT